TGCTGTCATCCCTTCAAAATTAATGTGTCAAAAATATGCAGTGCATTACATCAGGAAAGGCTCGTATTTATAAAATAAAAAGAAATTTAAAACACTAAAATTTAAAACACTGTATTTCATAAAACTGGTATTATTATTGAAGAGTCCAGAAAACTCATTAAAAAAAAACCCTTTAGAAAAAACAGGAAACTTATATACAAGCAAAGGGTACAGAAATCAAAAACAGTGAAAAAGGAGAATAAGCCAAAGAAAAAGGAAAAAAAACAGCAAAAGTAAGAGGCAAATATAGGACATAAATGCAATAATAATAAAATAGTATCTCAAATAATGTTGAAGATGAATTTTCCTCTACATTTGCTTAAAGCTATTTTTCTTTTGACAAAGATTGGGGCATAGTAGCTTTTACAAACATTTTCCTGATCCTTTGGCTACTAGTGAGAAAGAGCAAAAGAAGAAAGCTCAGGGCTAGAGTGTTGGCTCAAGTACCTGCTTAGCAAGTGCAAAATTCTTAATTCAAACCCTAGTGCTGCCAAAAAAACAAAACCAAAAACCAAAACAAAAAACAGAAGGCAGTTTCCACAGATATTTAGCTCAGTGTCAACAACCAAGTCACCAGAACAAGCTTCTCATAATCCCACAATGCAACAGCACATGCAGAGCAATTCCAACACATGCTGGGTCACAAGACCACACAAAAACTACCAGATCACCAACAGAGAACATCAAAGCTGAGTTACAAACCGCATAAATGCACAGAGACAGCTTTTTTGAGAATTGAGTTCACAATTCTCAAACATAAACTAACATAAACCAACTCTGGTTACACGTGAAGAAGAAAAACAACTACTGTCAGTGATGTCGAAATGTGAAACAGCTATTAATATAGAGTGCTCCTGCACAGGCCGACAAGATCATTCCCTCACAGAAATGCTTGAAAGCTGAGTGGCTGGAAATGAGTTCCTAGTCATCATGGCAACATGAAAACGTGAACAGTAGCATAGCTCTGTTGGAATTTATGTTCTTATATAAATGAAGGGGAAAAGCCAAGGCTGTATACACTGAATCTATATCTTGATCTATCCTTTCATTGGGACTACAAAAACACGCAATGGTTTTCACAGACAACTTGCAACACACAGCCATAATGAGCTTTTGAATCACCGATACTCACATATAAAAGGGGGCTCGATCGTCAGCAGGTGCTGAAGAAAATCTAGAATGTGAAGCATACGCCGTGGCATCTTTTTACAATGGTGTTAACAAATGTCAATGTCTTGTGCTGAATGTGAGATGCATACATATGTAGTTAAAAGTGGGTGCTCCTGGTTATTCCCCCCCCGCCCCCCCTGCTTTCCACCTCCTCTCATCTACACCTCCCCCAGAAAAGCATCTGCTCTTTACTGGTGTCTATAGCAGTGATTATTAACAAGCATGGAAAAATGGGACTGCAATCAATCTTTTATTCCTTGATCAGGAATTCATCCCACACTTGAGGTTAAGGCAGGTGAATTCTGATTCAGCTCAGTAATTATCTGGCAGATGTTATAAGCAGCTGCTGCTAAGCACAAAACTCTGGCTATTATTACAGAAATATAAGAGCTCCTGGCAAGGTGGAGGGAGAAGTGAAACAAAATGCATTCTGGTGAGGCTTCACATCTGGCTTCCATACAAAATAATGAAACCTGGAACTTAAACTGGCTGTTCTTGAACTCTTGAAACTCAAATGATCTATCCAGGCATGCATGAATGCACACAAAGTTCCTAGCTATCTATAGTAAAGAGCAAAAAAGAAAGCCAGTGCATTGTCTCAATAAGCATTTTTTTAAACATAGCCAATAGTTATGTAACTGAGCCAGATTCTTTTATTTTTAAGTCTCTACCATAGACCTCTCACTACCACCTCCCCAGATTAAGTAAGGTTTATAATAAGAAATAAAGAAGGTGATGAGGAACAAGCTTAGGTGCAAGGCAGTAGTATAAAAAAGCTGAACTGGCCAGAGGCAGTGTTACAATTCCACTCAGAATAATGAAACAGCATACTTTCCTTTTGGGAGGATTGCTCATATAGCTTTTAAGGTAATTCTAACTTTTGCTTCTTGAAAGGTAAGTGACAGAAATGGATGTGACCCAAAACACTCAATGCATAACACAGAAAACCCACTACTCAACCCCAGTCAATCTAAGCACCTATTTTTGTTTCACCGTCTAACACACTGCTCTTTCTGGAAAAGGATTATGTAAAGATGACTTGACTTTCTTTTATTTCTCTCTATTACTTACTCAATGAGTGGATTCTATTCATCTAAATCAGAGCATTAGTAGGACAGTTAAGAAGAAATCCATGCATTTTGTGGTTATGATTGTGTGATGTGTATACGTGTGAGATTGACTGACAAGTTGATTTCCAGGGGAAGAAAGATTACAGATTTTTTTGTTTGTTTTAAATGGAAAATTTCACAGGACATTTTGATCCCTGAGATTATAAAGCAAATTTTTAAGACACCTAGTTATCCTTTCAAGGTCAAAATAAAGCTGTTGCCCACAGGAATTGGTATTTTGACTTGCTGAATCAGCAAGTCAAGGGTAGAAGACCTATATAAATACACAGAATGAAAATATTAGGGAAGACGGCTTAAAAAATATGCCTCCAAACTTCTCTAGAACTGACTATACACATGACTTACATCAAACTGATGTCACAAAGGTCTTACTTTGAAGCAGTCAGTAGAACTGAAAAGTAAGGCTAGCATCAAGCATTGATGCTAAGTGCTCAGAATATCAAAACATGTGCCGGGGACGTGTGTCAGGCACACAGCCCAGCATGTACATCATACCACTGCAAATCCAATTGCAGTTATTAGGTATCTGCACTGTGTGCCAACCTATTCTGTGTGCTACAACTCCTGCAGCACTTCCTCTTTTAGGCAAAATGAAGTAACATGGTCATAGTGGTGAGGAAAGCACTTCAAGCATCTCTGCTTTTGTGTGACAGAGGGATCGACATTTTTAATGATGTTTACTTTCACTGAAGATAATTAAGGAATAGTCATATGAACTGCTTTACTGAAAAAGAGAAGTAAAAGAGGCAAGCAAAAAACATAAAAGTGAAGCTGACCAAAACATAGTGAAGCTGACCAAAAAAAAATCTTGATAAAAAGCAGAAATCACTCAAAATGGTATGTTCCCTTCTACAATTTTTATTGATGAAGAATGGAAAACAGATTGCAAATATAGGTCTTTTTACCTAAGCTTTAGCAATACATACTTTGCCAAGGAACCAGTAGAACAGAATGCCCTCAGTAAACCAACATTAATAAAGAAAAGTCCCTTGTACTGGTAATCATTACATCTGTTTAAGGTAAAGAATCTTTTCCTGAGTTCTTATTTTATGGTTTTAACCCTTATACATTAAACACAAATATTCAGTGATTAATATTAGAGGAAAAAGCCACACTGATGAGGTGTGACAATGAAGTCATAAGTTGATTTTCATGCTTACTCAAAAAATGTTTAGCAAGGTAAACACTAAGTCAATATATTACATGTTTTTAGAACATTATAGGATTATGGAAAATTTTAAAAGCACTTCCTGCCAACATATATAACCTCTAGTAAATGATATTAAATTCATGAGTGAATCCCTTTGGGTCATGAAATAGTTCAAGAAAGACAAAGATCAGATACATGCTGTCATATTTAATGTTTTTCATGGTGAGCCCTTATAAAGAAAGGGCTTGATTCTAGAATTTATATAGGACAATCAGGAGACAACAGGAGTCTAGTCTGCACTTCTTTCTGAGAAGCTCTGTAAAAATTCACATCTCTCTCTCTGAAGTATCTCTCTCAGGCGGGGTTTGTATAGGAACCATTGGAGAAGTAAAATAAAAATGCCAAGTAATACTGTTGGCAAAATTTCAGTAGTGTTATAATCTTAAAGAGACTACTAAGCACATTAAATAGAGTATCTCCTAAAAACATTCTAATTAACTGAAACTCCTGCATTTCCTAAGCCAAACTAGGGTTCAAATAAGACTTACTTTATATCAGGTCCAATGAGAGAATGTCTTCTCAACATGGCTCGTGCTTGGGCATTGGTTAAACTGATGGTAGATTCTTCATTGATAGACAAAATGCAGTCCCCAATAGCAATCCGGCCATCTCGACTAATGGCACCTCCATGAATAATGCTTCGAACAATCATCCCCAAGCCATCTTTATTAGCACTCACTGTCATCCCTATGGAATAAAAAGAGTATAGATATGGTTTTATAGATAATTTTCAAATTCACCTTAATAATCACTATAGATTCACAACTAAAAAAGAGTAACATGTTTCATCAATAAAAACAGTTTTTCCAACAAAATATTTTAAGGTAAGTGTTAAAATGTTTGTGAAATTAGGGCAGAATCTTGTGGGATCGGCTTGTAATCTGTTACTTGGGAGACAGTGGTTTGAGCATCACAGTCTGAGAATGGTCCTGGGGGGAAAATGAAAAATAAACTAAAGCCAAGAGGACTGGAACATGGATCTAGTGGTAGAGTTCCTGCTGAGGAAAAGTAAGGTCCTGAGTTCAAACTCAGAGAAAAGTTTGTGAAATTATCTGAAGATAAACTACTCTATGTTTAATAAAATAAACATCTCCATACAGTGAACTGAATATAATTTAGACCATATGATGTGTTGAGATTACATTTTGGTTTTAAATACAAAATTCTCTCAGGGACATTACACTAACTATCAGATCAATGTTATAATAACAATTCCTCCCTTACATATTTAAGAGAATAAAACAAGATTACAAATGGGAAATTAATTCTACAAGTTAAAAAACTTGCCTGCTACTACCTTATTTCTAACTCATTTGTTTGTTCTCAAATAGGTACTATATACTATTCTGAAGCTATAAAAAGCACTGTACAGAATTTATAACAGCACAAGTCCTTTTTTTATTTTCTAGCAATGACTTTTATTTGTGCTGTCTTTCCTTCCAAGCCCAGTCCACTGAGGATGACATCTGCCCCCCCCCCGTCTCCTCCCTCGCTTCTTCCTGTCCTCTTGTACTCAAGTCTTACAATCTCTACTACTACCATAGTGCCCGAAGGTAACCTATTGATGTTTTATCTTTGAAGTGCTATGAGGGCAATGTCTCACTGAACATCCAGTCTTCTTGACATATCTCCTGGAATTCGTATCATGATAGGAAATGCAATCTTAAAAGAGTATAAAGTTGAACTTTCAAATTTTCACCACCTCTTATCCTCCTTGGTGAATAATGCTGCCATGCTATTCTCCCTTATCCAAAAATAAATAAATAAATAAATAAATACTGGAGTTATTCTGGAGCCTTACCTCTCTCCTATCCTTATATTTAATGCATCAGCAACACATATCACTTATATCTCTGTAATTTATCTTAAATCCACTTAATTTCCTTCATTTCTAATTCCAATCCTGAACTGAACTATAATGTTTGCTCAACTTTTTACAACTGTTTCCAATATTGCTTTCATGCATTCCTTACAGCAGAGAGACCATTCAGAAAAATGAAATCACACCCCATCATTCTTTTGGATACAAACCTCCAAGTGGTCCCTACTGTATTAACATACAACACATTTGCTTGGACAGTGTAGAGGGCACTGGTGACCTGCCCTCTCCCAATGTGCATGCTTCCTTTGTAGTCTTTGGTTTCCTGCATTCCAGCCATAACACCCTTCTTCTGGAAATCCATCTAGCCCCTTACCATTTTGGAGTCTCTGATACTGTTACTTTTTTTGTAGGTCTCACATAACTAATTGCCTCTCTTAATTTAATATTACTTCCTCAATAATGCCTGCTCACGATATTCTGTCTGAGTAAATTCCCTTCCCATTCTACACTCATCTTATTCCTTCAAGATATAAACATTTAAAATTATGTTTAAAACTTTTGGAAAAATAATGTAAATACAATTAAGTGAAATGGTCAAATTTTCTTTCAAAAATGATGTAATTAAACAAAATAAGAAGTATCATGGTATTCATAAAAATCTTTTTTGATAAAAGTCACACATTTATATACAGGTTTCTTTCTATGTATTAAAAATAAAGACTATCTTTCCAATTAATATAAATTATACCAAATCAGAAAGTATTATAAACTTTTTGAAAAATGATCTAAATTATGACTTTAGCCCAATACCTTATGCCTAGCTACAGGAAATTCAGACTCCTAGTAAGAAACATTATCTTATATATTTAAAATATTGCTAGAATCATACTACTTTTAAATGTTTTAACAGGATACTTTTAGTGGGGGAGGGAGTGAGTCCTGGCACTTGATTAGGGCCTAGGCACTTGAATAGGGCCTAGGCACTGTCTCTTGAGATTTTTTTGCTCAAGGCTAAGGCCCTTCTACTTGAACCATACCTCCACTTTTGGCTTTTTTGGTGGTTAAAGATAAAAGCGTTTCATGGACTTTCCTCCTAGGCTGGCTTTGAACCACGATCCTCTGATTTCAGCCTCTTGGGTAGCTAGGATTACAGTCATGAGCCACCAGAATCCAGCAAGAAGACATTTTCCCTTACCATAAAACAACAAACAATTATATATATTATTTCATCTCAGTTTTTTTTTTTTTTTGTTGTGGAGCTTGAATTCTGGGCCTGGGCACTATTTCTGAGCTCTTCAGCTCAAGATGGGTGCTCTACCACTTGAGCCACAGCACCACTTCCAGTTTTCTCATGGTTAATTGGAGATAAGAGTCTCATGGACTTTACTGCCCAGGCTGGCTTTGAACCATGATACTCAGATCTCAGTGTTCTGAGTAGCTAGGCTTACAGGCGTGAGCCACTGGCACCCAGCTTCATCTCAGTTTTTTGTAATGAACACAGAGGTCAGCTCTTAAGTGTTTCCATAGGTGATAATTTACAGATATAGCCAGCCTTCCCACCAGGATTTCTGAAACAACTATACTATGTTAAAATCAAAATATATGACAACAAAACAAAATTTAGCTCAGGAATCCTCACTGGGAATTTAATTTATTGTCTTGTTTTAATTAGTACTATGCACTCCTCAATAAAGCAATATCAAAATGTCATTATGAGTTATGGTTGACATGACCTCTGAATTCATTTTTAATTGTATAATGAACTCACCACTGTACCAGCATATAAGGTTATTAGGTCACATCACCCATATAACGAACTTTACACTTTCCTTCCACTAAATAATGATTTGGAGAATTCAACAGGATGGACATAATATCTGCTAACTAGATTTTGGTTGAAACTTCAAAGACCTCTCCATGATTTTTCTTGGGAGAAGTACAGAAGAATAGTCTGAATTATGTTCCATAGAAAACAGACTACTTACAAATATCTGTTCATCATTTCCAATCAGTGTGACTTTGAACAACTGTCTTAACTTGATTCAGTCCTCAGTTTGCTGAGCTGTACATTGAAGATAATAATCCCTAGCCTAACCTTAGTGTTGGGTTGGATAAAAAATTAACTGACAGACAGATACACAGAGTATCTTTTAAAATACTTGGTATAAAGTGTTCAATAAAAAATAGTTGAAAACTAAAAACAAAAGAAAATTCATGGGCTATAATTTAAAATGTACCTCTATCCTAAACTGAAAGCTAGAAAAAGTCTAGGAAATCAACTAGTGATGTTTACATAACAGTGTGAGCATACTTAAATAGTAAAGGTGGTCAATTTTATGTCATGTGTATTTAACCATGTTAAAAAAAATCAATGGAACTAATTTACTAACAAAAAATATACAAGAAAGTCCTAATCATCTCAATAGATGAAGAAAAGATGAGAGAATTTAACATTGCTTCAGTATACTAAAAATAGGTTCTCAATGCCAGTTAATGAAATTATATGATCACACGGATCAAACTGTAGCTCCTAAAAGAGCTTCTTACTGCTTCCACACTGTCTCTAAACTACACTGCAATGGCCTTCCTAAAACGTATCTTGACTGTGTCCCACTTTTGTCCTTTTAGGAGGATAAGAAGTTTTGCATCCTGCACATAACCCTGACCACTTGCTTACTTTGCCAGACATCACACAGACACATGTTCTCATATCTCTGCCTTAGCTCTGCAGCTTCTTCCAGTTCCTCATCTGCCTATGAAACATCTCCTCTTCTTTCCTTCAAGAGGCCCTTCCTTTTTATCTGTATGTGTCTCACAGCACGAATAGTAGTTTAATACCTCAGGATTCCATGTCCACTTGCTTACTTCATTAAACTCATGTTCTCTGAGTAAAGGGATTATATCATGGTACTGAAGTACACTGCCCAGAGTATACAGAACAATGTATGTTTGGTCACTGAATTAGAATAGGACTTCTCAAGTAGGCTTTTTCTGTTATGAGTTGTTCAACAATAACAACAAAAATGGGCTCTGTGGCTAAATAAAACTGCATTCTATGATCATGTCTCAGAACTCCACAATGTACATCACAATATGAAAGTACTGAGAAGTAATCCCAAAAGAGCATTTGTCTCCTTAAAGTTTACCACATCTCAAACTATTAAACTTGGGTCTTTGGACAGCTATAACGTTAGTATTCTGAGTAAGATAGTTGTAGAAACACTGTAGGAACTTGAACAGATGAAATAAATGACACTGTAACATATTGATAATACCTATCTCCTAATTAATGATTTATGGAAAGTTATGGGTCTTGTTTCCTATCATGAAATACCACAAGTCTTAGAAATCCCCTGCTATAAGTTTTAACTTGGCCACTGTTGTTAGGAAGTACCCAATGAGCCCCATATAGAATAAAATCTACGTGACAGAGATGGGAGTCTTCCTCATCCAATAAGCACTGCTGGATTCTTCTGCTAAGTCTCAGATTTAACCAAGAAACAAGGCCCTGCCATATCAGTGTAAAGGGTGCTGATTAATTTTGTCCTAGAAGGAGTAATAGCTCTGACAAAGAGTTCACTGGAGTCTCAGGCAGTACTGGAGCACACAGAATATAGGATCTCTCATTCACATAGAGGAATGAGGACAAGGCTGAATCACATGACTATTTATATTCAATGAGAGAACAAATGTACTCTGTCCTAACAGTTTTAGCTATTATAATTAGGGTTTTATTTCCAAAGGAAATCTTCTTTGCCCATTTCTGAGGGTTTTGTGATGATTAACCAGTCAAAACACTCAGCAACAGAGGACTTTAGAAACCTGCCACCTGGAAAGAACTATTGAGGAACTGGCATTTATATCTGGTGGTAGCACACCTGGATGTCTTTAGTCTTTATTCCAGTAAATGAAAGAAACTAAATACAAACTGACTTGTGCATAACTAGCAACATTCAAAACAAAACTAATAATTCCCTTTTCCAAAGAATTTAGAATTTCAAATTGATGACTTTCCATTTTCTAAGAATTCCTTTTCTGATTTGCTATTTCAAACACAAACAATTCATATATCTTTTACTTGAAGGTAAATGAGGCTTTTGAATACTTTGAAATAATTAAGAGAATGAAGGAGTTAAGCCAGTATGAAATAAACAAAACTGTTAACTGTTTTAGAAAAATAACAAATACATGAATAGAAAAACCACAAAAAACTACAAGAAAATTTCTGAGGGAGGGAGAGAAAGAGACTGAGATTCTAACATTGGTTTTCTGATCTGTAGCAAAAACAAAACAAAACAACAACAACAAAACCCTACCAAGATCAAGCTCTCTCCTGCACAAGGTTTGAGGAGTAGAGATATTTAGAAAATGAAAAACTTACCTAGACTAGAATTGCCTTTTGCTATAGTAATAGTCCTCTCAAAAGATTCTTTGGACATATTCTGCAGTATGACACTTTCGGCATTACAGGCCAGGGAGCGCTGTTCAATCAAATACTCAGAACCCTGAAAGACAAGTCACATGGAAAGAAAAACTAGACTTTGGAGTGTGATTTCAACATTATACGTGTACTCTAATTAGTTGTGCTTTATTTAGCAAGAACCCACCTATAATCAAAACAAGTTTATAGGTTGTCTCAGTGTCAGATGAGCACTCATTCCAAATGGAGAGCTTAGCCAGAACACTAGCTCTTTGGTGCCAAAGCTCATGATAACACACAAACTACATCTAAAATACTACCTTTCCAGTTGAATCAAGTAGGTCAGGAGAAGCAAGGTCTGTGCATGGCATCACATCACTGGGTAACTGAGACTCAGTCCAAGCTACTCTGCTTTCACATTCATACTGCTGCTCCATAGCATTTGAAGGGGTATAATCATTCATGGTGAAGCCAGAAACAGTCCCCATGCTGAGATCCACTGAAGGTGGATTCTCATCCTGTCTCTGCAGGAGATTCTGGGCATAAAGCTCTTCCAAGGACATATGCAGATCAAGTGCTGGATCAGATTCTTCACTAATATCCTGATGGTTAAAGAACAGAAACATCAAAATTGTGACTAGAATCACCTCATCTTGTTTTATAAAACCAGTTTTTAATGAGCAAAAAGAAAATAAAAGGACAATTTTCCATTACTTTAAGGAAGCAGGAACCAGGTTCATGTCTGTAATCCTAGCTTACCTAGAAGGCTGACTGACAACTGAGGATCACAGTTCTAAGCAAACCCAGGCGGAAAGTTCATAAGACTCTTATCTCCAATTAAATAGCAAATGCCAGAAGTAGAGCTGTGGTTCAAGTGATAGGGTGCTAGCCTTGAGCAAAAAAAAAAAGCTAAGGACAGCACCAAGCCCTTGAGATGAAGCCTAAATGCCAGCATTAATTAAAAAGAAGAAAAATTAAAAGAAGGAAATATATATTCTTCACTTAGTAGATTTTTTGCATATTTTTATTTTCACAAATGTTTTGAGCACAAAATTTCTACAAATTTTTATATATCACATTCTACTGAGTTGTACTTGGATGACAGGCTGTAAATAAGATAATTTAGACAATACTAAGTTCTATCCACAAATGAAATTATTCAGTTTAAACTATATATAGAAGCAAATAACTTATATTTCTGAATCATACTTAAACAGTAATTTATTTCCAATCAGTCAAAAGTTCCTATTTACTATGAGAGCATACAAGTAAGACATTAGTTGATTTGTATTCACAAGAGCCTCCAATGAGAAAATTACTTTGATAGACATTTATAGATATTCACCAAAGGGAACATCTGAAGAAATATTCTGCAAGTTATAACAGAATACTAAACTACTAAATCTAGGTTCGGCTATTAACATGAATATGTCATAGAACCTCTTATGCCAATGCATTAGAGAATTTCTAAAATTCCTTGAAACTTTATAAAATCCTATGGCTCTATACAAATGCATTGGTCTATTTACAAAAGATATATCATTGTGTGTGTGTGTATGAGAGAGAGAGACAGAGAGGGGGGAGAGAGAGGGGGGAGAGAGACAGAGAGAGAGACAGAGGGAGAGAGAGAGGGAGGGAGAGACAGAGAGAGAGACAGAGAGAGAGGGGGAGAGAAGAGGGAGAGAGACAGAGACAGAGAGAGGAAGAAAGGGAGAGAGGGAGAGAGAGGGAGAGAGAGAGAGAGAGAGGGAGAGAGAAAGATACAGAGAGGCAGAGAGAGAGAGAGAGAGAGAGGAAACAAGAGTGTATGTGCCAGTACTGGGGCTGAACTCAGGGCTTGGGGACTATCCCTCAGTTTTCACTCAAGACTAGTGTTCTACCACTTGAGCCACACCTCCACTTCTGAGTTTTTGCTAGGTAGAGATAAAAAAAATCTCTAGGATTTGTCTGCCAGGGCAGCTTCAAACCACAATTCTCAGACCTCAGCCTCCTGAGTGAGCCACGATCCTCAGATCTCAGCCTCTTGAGTAGCTAAATCACAGACATTAGCCACCAGTCAGCTTCCTCTAATTCTGTATACGGCAGTTTTTGCTTATTCTTGTCATAGCCTATTGTAAATATAAAGTATTTCTCATTTATATTACAAATACATTTTCCCAGTCTGTCTTTTTTTTTTTTGTCGGTCATGGGGCTTGAACTCTGGGCCTGGGCGCTGTCCCTCAGCTCTTCAGCTCAAGGCTAGCGCTTTACCACTTGAACCACAGCACCACTTCTGGCTTTTTTTCTGCTTATATGGTGCTGAGGAATCAAACCCAGGGCCTCATGTTTGCAAGGCAAGCGCTCTACCACTGAGCCAACTTCCCAATCCCTCCCAGTCTGTCTTTTAAGTACATATATGAATATATGTAATATTATATATCATGCACAAGTTAAATGCTTTATAGAATCAAATGTCATTTCTCTATATTCCTTGGTTTTATATTGCTTCATAAATCTTTTTTTATATAAAGTAAATGGCATGGTTCCTAGTACTGTTCTTCTCTTTTAGAAATAATTTGTTTTTCAATTTTAGCCAGCTGGAATTTAGATCTAATATAAGATATGGGTCTTAACAACCTTTTCATTTCTTCAAAGTGGGTAATTTAACTTCTCCAACAGAATTTATTAAACTTCTCTTCCTCAAGTCAAAGTTACATTTCTCTGAAATCATCAAAAATTCCTGATACACAGAACTGATATAGAGGTCCATCATACAAGCAATTAACATTCTGAGTATTTTCAGGAACAACTAATAATAAAGTAACATCTTCCACACATCTACAATCTAAACAATAAACTGGTAGTTCAATTCACCCAACCCTGATTATTTTATTCTTATGAAAAATAACAATGTACTTACTGAAGGACTGGTAAGTTCCAGTATACTAAATTAATTACAATAATTAGCAGAAAATCATCTCATCCATTCCTCAAAGAAAGATAATCAGAACTGCTTTTCATCATAAAAAGAGGTCAATCTATCCGTTAGCTGAGGTCTACTGAAAATTGTATAACAGAAATTTCTATGCATTATTCATGAAGGAGTTAACACAGACACACAGAAAAGAAACAGCTAATCAACACAGTAGACAACATACGCCCACTTCAGTATCATTTATGGTTGCAACCAACGGAGTTTTATTTTTAAAAGTCGTATAGATCAAGAAGAAAAACCGTTCTTCCTCCCCTAAGATGTCCAAAAATAACTACATTTTTCCAATGTAAGTTGGTATCTAAACTGTAGACCTTCTAAAATTCCTATTTATCTATATGCCTCCATTTGATATATTCTTGTTCTCAGAAAAAAATGAAAGGGAAGATAAATTAAAATGTCAAATATGTTCAGAAAAGTTCTTTACTTAAATATATGTAGAATTTAAGGTACACTTAAAAACAGTAAACTAGCTATTGAGGGAGCTGACAGGTAAGGATCACGTTCAAAGTCAGTCCAGGTAAGAAAGTCCATGATACTCTTACTTCCAATTAACCACCAAAAAGCTGTAAGTGGAGCTATGGATCCAGTGGCAGACCATTAGCCTTGAGCAAAAACATGAAGAGACAGTGCCCATGCCTGCCCTAGTGTATACACACATACTCTCAAATAAAAATAGAAAATAATATTTATCTGTATAACAAATTTATATACACTAGCTAATTTCTTACATAAACAGCTACAACCTGCTTTTCTTCAATAAGTAGTCTACCACAGAATTTCTATCACACTTTAAAAAACTGAAAGCAGAGCTCCACCAGCCTACTGGCATTCTCCCAGGCTTTCTGACTTGCACACTGCCTTATTGTAGTGAATGGTAACATCTTTTCTACCTCTGAGCTAACAATTCTGTCGCAAAGACAGAACACTTACAACACTTTAAACTTCCTGACTAAAAAAGTTTTTAATCCTACTCAACTCCAAAATCATTAACAAACAGAATCAACATTCTCAACTTGGATGTGAACACTGCAATATTTATGCTAAAGAATGATGCTAAGCAGAGATTTGTTGGAATACGCAGATTTTTAAAAATATAATAGAATCCACTGGTTGCATTTGGTGTGTGATATACAAAAAAAATACAAATACAACTGCAAGCTGCACTGTAATCAATAGCATTTCTGGTTATGCTAATAATTAAGGGATGGAGGACATGTACCATAGAGATAATGATTTCATCTTGTGAAGGAATAAAATGGGTGATCATGGAAGGGGACATGGTGTAGTGGCATGGAGAAGATATAGAAGAAAGACTAAATATACAGTTATTGATCTTTATCAGCTGAATTTTTAAGTCAAAATTTAAAAAATAAAAATAAAGCAAGCATCTTCTCAGAAACTATGCTAGCTTTTAAGCAAAAGTCTACAAGCATTTTAAGTTTGAAAAACAATTATCACTGCATTTGGTCATTGGTTTAGTGGTAACAGGGAAAGAGGATAAAAAGATTTATAGGACAAGCACAATTCACAGCTACTTATGAGGCAGATTGTGAGAACTGTAACTTAAAAGCAGGCTGAGCAAAAGGTAAGCAAGATTTCATCTCAATCAATAAATCTGGGAGTTATAAAGTGCCTACCATAGTTAAGACAGCTAAAGCATTAAAGAGAGAGAGAGAGAGACAGACAGACAGACAGAGACAGAGACAGAGAAAGAGATCCTATTCAGAACATAACTAAAGCAAAGAGGGCTGGTGAGCATGTTTTAAGTAATAGGTCTCTTGCTTAGCTGGAGAAGGCTCTGAGTTTAAACCTCCAGTACCACCAAAACAATCAAAATCTTCAAAAGTTAAAACAACAGTGAGAAAGGAAAATCCTTACAGGCTATAGCCACTTGTCTTTAAAATGCACTTTTCCTTTTTTTTTAATAAACAGAGTCTCACTATATAGCCTATGCTGACCTCAAAATTGCAATTTTCCTCCATCAGTCTCCTGAGGGCAGAATTACAAGTATGTACCAACATGTCTGGCTAAATAAAATGTAAATTTATGGCAGTACTGAAGTATAAACTCAGAGACTGGTGCTTTCTAGGCTGGTAATTTACCACTTGAGCCAATGACGTGTCCTATTTAATTTTGGTGATCTGTCCCTAATTAATTTAAGTGTCATGAAGTAGGTATAATTGAATACTTAAATGATAAATTAAGCAAACACACACACACACACACACACACACACACACACACACACACACACACACGGTGCTTAACTGCTGTTCAGTCCAAAACTACTCTGTAAACATGGCTTCCCTGGAGTATGAGTCCATACTCCACCCCACTGTCAGTTCTTATAACAGGGGTAACCAAAGTCCAAAGTCTGGAAAACATTTCATCAAGGGAGAGGGACAGTAAAAATTGTATATCCATCTCTAGCCTCCATTTAAAGCCAAAAATAAAAAGACAGAGGAGTGTCTAATATCCTCAGTCTCCACTTCATCCTTGTGTTCAACAATACTTAGCACACACAACCATATATACTTAAATCGCCACATATATGCTTTCATTCTATTAACTTAAAAGTCCTAAAGGAGCTCATATTTTTTAAGAAAAACAATCAGTTCTCCATTGTTTCAGAATGAATTTAGTGTAAATGAACAGGAACGTATTATCTAATTTTTATTTAAATACACTTTTCTACTTATTAAAATAGAGTAGCCAAGGAAAAACAAAACCAAACACCACAGTGGCAGAGATTTACCATAACACAGGACAGACCTACTTTCTAAGAAAACAAAGCATGTAAGTTTCATAACGTACTTAAGACATTAATGTCTTCTTTTTGTCTTTTCAGTTTAAATATTTCAGTGTTTGGGCCAGCTTAACAAAATTTGCTTCAACAAAAGAGTAAACTGCTCAGGGAAAAGAAATAAAACAGGCAAACAAACTTCAGCAAGCCAATATGTTGTGCCACATATAACCAGAAAAATACATGCTTCTCAGCATGCAGATTGTGTAATCCCTCTAAGTAACAATTACTAAGTCAAACAATGCAATCTGTCCCACTGGCATGAAGTATGCCCTGCTATGGATTAGGAGATTCCATCAGGAGATGAACTCAGCTTCCAGTCCTGAGGCCAGTAAAGGCTGAACACATTCCAGATAGGTTGCAGCCAGACATAGTCTCAGGTGTGCTAAGGGAGGACCAGCTGCTCCACTAAGACTATGCCTTGCAAAGCAATTCGAGGAGATTGTCCTGCATCATTTGCTAGGATAACAGGTGCACTTCAAAAATAAAAGATGCTTTGAAAATGTTCTGGCCAAAGTAACTATTTGTTAATCAGAGAAAGAGGAAAACTATGCTAGAGCTGTAGAAATCTTACCTTCCAAATTAGTCATAAATGAGACCTCTTTCCACTGAATTCAATTTATGTAGAAAATGCCATATCATAATGCTATATCAGTAATTATACTATATATTTTATATCAGTAATTATACTGTAAAATAGTATATTTCCACCATAGAAAATAAAGAAAAAATAAAGTCCAAATATGAACTTTTTGCCTAGATTTAATATACAAACATTTTCCTCAACTGTTCTACTGAATAGAGATACAGAAACATTTCAATGCTTCCTTTTTCTTCCATAGATAACTTCTCTCCTAAAATTGAGAAGTATCACACACAAATTTTAATTTTTTTACTAAACACACACATACAATACCCTTAAAATATATAGTATATGTATTATGTACTATATACTTATATATAAATTTCTAGAAAATATAAACAACTTCAATAAATGAACAGAAAGATAAGATCTAATTTTTTATTAGTTTTTATGTGGTACTGAAGAATTGAACCCAGAGCTTCATGCTTGCAGGCAAGCACTCTACCACTAAGTCACATCCCTAGGTCAAAACAGCTACATGGAGAGATCATTGATAAAAGCAAAAAACATTTGGTAAAATGATAAAGCATTCAGTCCCACTAGTGATCCAACTGGACACATGTAGTAGCATACTATTTTACAGTTAAAAGACTGGATAGGTTTTAAAATATTATGTATCAAGCAATACTGAGTATGACACCAAGAAAATGAGTACAACTAGGGCCTTTATGCCAACAGTCTATTTCTCAAACATAGATGCACAAATATGTCAAACAGTAGCTCTTCATGTTTCTATCATTAGCCACTGAGAGACACATGCTTTGCCACTCACTATGATTTTTATGTAAAGCATTCTTTGGCATTATTTGTATAAAAAGATAGCATTAAGTTTAATAGCTAGTAATGGTAAATCAATGCAAGCAATATCTTCAACTTGGCATAAAAATTAATTTTAAATTTATTCTTGCAATTTTTTTTCCAGATCAGATACATCAGAAACATATTTTATTAAAATGGTTTCTTTTTGATATGAGAATCATTAATCCAAGCTTTGGATCCTTCTGTGGCGCGCGTGCGTGCGTGCGTGCGTGTGTGTGCGTGCGTGCGTGCATGCGTGCGTGCGTTTGTGTGTGTCTCACAGACATCAGAATTAAATAGTCCATAGCAATCTGAAAGACACAGAGAATGAAGTCATGCTTCCACCTAATAATGAATCCATGAATAGAAAAATAGCACAGTATTTCTAATAGGTTATTCCCACAACTCCCCACAAAGCTGACTTCTGAAAATTATACACAAAGTTTGGCTTTTTTTTTGTACCTTGGGAGAAGATGCTGGAAGGGAGGGGCCATAGTTGAGGCCATCACTACAAACACTGCCATGAAGAGATAAAACAGAGGCTTGAGTAGAGTAGACACTGTCCTTATCCAGAGAGTACTGAGATGCAAAAGTAGATTCATCTACTAATTCACCGTCTGGTGTGTCCACCTAGGAACAAAATAACATCAGGGGTTAATTGTGTTCTATCACAATATCTCAGTCACCATTTGAGACCAACAGACATGGTGGTATCATTCTTTTGTCTGTCCTGTTTGTGGAATGGCCTCCCTCTGCACACTTGCTGACACATTACACTAACTATTGCAGCAGTACAAGGAAAGACTGCCCTTCCACTACAAGGAAAGGCTGCTGGCAGACAACTGAAGAGCTGAAGCTAACAATTAATAAAGGATCTAGTTTAATTCTTAAACAGTTTTATAAATTAAGGAAATCTTTTATTTTTCTAGTTCTCATGAGTAATTTGAATGAGGTCATCACTTTTCATACTTAGCTAAAGCAAGCTGGTAGTCAAAAGACAATGATCAATTAGTTGCTTAAATTAGGCTTACGTAGGTTTTAAAACAACACATTTATAAAAGCCTAAGAGAACAACTATGATTTCATGCTCAAATTGCATTAACAAATAATAGGATTAAATTATAATATGGTTATAGTAAAGTATTAGGTTATAAATTTCTGTTTAAAAATTCATATAGAATGAAAGGCAAAGTACAGTGTTAGAGCACTTGCCCAGCAAGCATGAGTCTGTGTCAAATCTCCAGTAGGGAGAGAAGGGCAGAAGATGGGAGGAAAAGGGGGAGGAGGAGAGAAGAAGGAAAGGAAGGGGAGGGAGTCCAATAGAGTAAGATAATTGTATCACTTATCAACAAATCCAACTATTATCTTTTGTAGTAAACCCAAGGGAAAGCAGTAAACATTAAATTTGACACTTTCCTTGCAGTTCACTAATAACCATACTTTGGAATGGGAAGAAATAACTGCTCTGTGATATTACCAGCATTTTCTAGTTATCTTGATGGCATGGTACCATGTATTGTATTTATTTGTGATTTAAACACTATAACAGTGTATAAACTACTTAAAGTACAATGTGATTCTCTCTTAAAATGTATTTCAGAGACCTGAAAATGTATTCTAAATACATGTTTAATTTCACTATGGAGTTAGCATGTGAAGGTTACCTTTCTAAATGACAAAAACTTACCATTTGCTATCTGAACAGGTACTATTAAATATGCCTTATGCCAGATTACAATAGAAAAATATTAAGTAACATTAATGAAAAAATACATCAACATGATATGCATGCCTAACACTGGCACTCTAAAGTCTTAGGAGCTACTCTTTAAGTCAATTTTCTCAATTACTAGAGATGAAACCCTAGGTCCCAGAGAAAGGGAGTGACCAGTGCACTACAGAGCTGGTTAAAGAGAAGACTGAGTCCACATACTATTATTATCACATGCCAAATGGAAATACTCTTTTTTCGAATTGGCATTCATTTAATAAGCCCTGTAAAATCAAAAGAGAATATTGTTTCTTGAGATATTTTAGAGACAATGATATAAAATTATTGCATTTACTTAAATATATCAAAACTTTCTGAACAACTATTTAAAAAACAATTAACAGAAAGAATCCCCTCTCCAAAACTAAGATTGTCAAATATATACATAATTTTTGAAAGGCAAAGTGAGTTACACAAGAACTTTTGCAGAGTTTGGTCAACTGAGATTACTAACCAGAGCTAAGTCAGCCCTGAAGAGGCCTTTTTCAGATCGCCCTGGCTCCTCGCAGGGGGGAGGTGGGTAGAGAAAAGAATCCTCCTTAGCAGACACGTAACCTTCTTCTGGAGAAAGCTGCAGTAGAAGCATGTTCCAGGCCCAGGTCACAGAAAAGATAGGGAAGATGAATAGAAAAAGAGACGAGATGACAGACGGATGAAAAATTAACAGAGACGGAAAAGTGGCAGTTTTCAATGACAACTTAAGACTTTTACATAGGATGTTAAGTATGAAATATGAAAAATACCTGTGTTAAGAATTTTATTTGAAAGGAAACTTTTTATTCTGGTATCACTACCATCCATTAGGTGAGAATCCCTTTTTATTAGGTATTTTTCCCCTTCTTATAAATAAATTACAAAATGAGCAATTTTATTCTAATAGTTTTCTGGTCATTATTATTTGTTTTCAAAGTTGCAAAATAATAAAACATCCTGCTTCAAATTCAAAAGAATACATTTCTTTTCATTCCTTCTTAGGCTATTACTTTAAAATATATCATTTATTTCATAGAGATAAAATAAGCCAAAGACATTATAAGTGCATGGAATGTAAACTTGTTTGAGCCATTATAATGTAGCCTCGACCACACAGACTGAAAAGTCTGTTATATTTATTCTAGTCTCTGATGCAATGTGCCTGAAGTATTTAGATAACGGTCTTGGCCTATATCCCTCCATATCAGTAATGTACACTCAAGTATTTAGAGAAAACAGGTTGTCTTCGTTTCCCCCCACATGTAAGTCAAATATGTGCTTGAAGTGACAGAAATAGCCATCGTATGTTTAATGCATACTAAATTTGAAATGTCAAATATTGTATTTAGAAAATCTATTTGGGAACTAGCTAGGAAACGACAATTCTGCTTCAAAATGACTGGTATGGATGGTTCCACGTTTAGGGCGGTACAAAATGTTAGCCATTTCTTTTTGTAGAACAGAAAGACCAGAACCATACCTATGGTCCAATATAAATGAGTAGGCAGAGTCAGAGATGGCCTTCATTCATTCATTCACTTACTAGTACTGGAGTTTGAAGTCAAGGTCTGGAACTTGCTAGGCTCATGTGATAACCATGTCCCACATACATTGGTTACTTTTAAGGATAGGGCTTCACTTGTAGTCTGGGTGCACACTTAAGCTACTACACACCTATTTTTAGATTTCCCCTTGTGGCTGGAATCATAGCCATGGGCCACTATGTCCAGCTTTTCTCCAAAGAGATGGAGTCTTATAGACTTTTCTGCCCAGATGGCAGATCCTCCCAATGTCAGCTTACCAGAACATTTGGTATGAAAAACAGGCCACTGCACTCAACTATGAGATGAGAGTTTTGTCAGCTTTTTTGTGCAGGCTGGCCTTGAATCATGATCCTCTAGTTCTCAGCATCCCCAGCACCCAGTGCCTATCTTTTTATTTATTTATTATTTATTGTGTGTGTGTGTGTATGTGTGGGTGTGTGTGGGTGAGGGTGGGTGTGTGTGTTTGCCAATCCTGGGGTTTGGAATCAGGGCCTGGATACTATTTCTGAACATTTTCCCCCTTCAAGGCCAGTACTTTACCACTTGAGCCACAGCTCCACTTCTAGTTTTTTGGGTGGTTAACTGGAGGTAAGAGTCTCACGTACTTTTCTGCCTGGGCTGGCTTTAATCCATTATCCTCAGATCTCTGTTTCCTGAGTAGCTAGGCTTATAGGCATGAGCAACAGGCACCATGATCCAACTTCATTCTTGTATTCCCCTTTGTATTCCCCCATCTTGCTTTACTTTTTCATAAATAAAAACTACAGAATGCTTTGTGGAATAAAATTGGCACATAAAATCATTTTCATTAACATTTAAATATTTTTTAAAAGCTTACTATTTGAAACAATCACATGAAAGAAGGGGAAACAAAGGAGGAGGCTACAATGCTTGATGAGAAATGTACTCATTGTCTTGCCCATGTAATTGTAACCCCTCTGTACAGTATTTTCACAATAAAAAAAAAGCTTACTAATTGAAAAAAATTCCTTCACAAAATTCCACAATTGCTGTTTATACAGATATAACTGTATACTTCCTTAAATAGTTAATTTTCCCTTTTATTTAAAGCTACATTACTTTTGCCTGGAAAAAATACCTGTCAAATAATGACAATATCTCACATCCAATCACAAAGTGCTCAGTGTCATGCTATGATCACTATACTTCGTAAAGTATACTGCTTTATGTGGTATAAATCCATTACTTGTTTCTAGTATTAAGATTACAACATGGGAGTGATTTCCTCCTAGGAAGAGAGCCATACACTGATAAACTCATTTTGCAAAATTCCAATTTCCTGCCCTGTAGAAATTAAGACAATTGTGTTGAAGTCAACATAATTCAGGAAGGTAAACCAATCTGTCAGCTTTTCCCATTTATTCTGTGTGAATAAAGACTCTATTCTTAGTTACAATACTATTCTTTTTCTTTCTGGATAAATTTTTCACAATAAGCAAAAATGATCAAGCATAAAGATTTTTTTTTCCTTTTCTCTTTTTTTTCAGTACTGGAAATTGAGTCAAGGCCTTATGTTTGTTTGACTTGCACACATAGCTGGGATCATAGGTGAATGCCAACTCTTAGCTTGTTTATTTGAGATGAGGTACCACTAATTTCCTGCCAGGACTGGCTTCAAGCCATAATCCCCCCAATCTCTACCTCCCAAGTGGCTGGGATTCAAGTGTGAGCCATCATGCCCATCAGTTGATATTATCTCAGTATTGAACTACAATAGTATTTTAACATACAAATTCATATTTCTTTAAAATTTCTGCATTGATCACAACTTAATTATTAAAATAAGGTCAAACGAGGACCACAAAATATTGACTTCTATATTCATCTCTGAACATCAGGGTTGGTTTTTTCCTTTATTCTCTTGAAAATATGACTAAAAATTGAATTATTTATGTTCATGGAACCAATAACCATGTTGACAAAAATTCCCCAAAGTGGTAATTCAATTAGGAGAACATTTAAATCTAAAAGAAAGCTTGTAAAAATAAAAGGCAATAAAATCCACAGTCTCACAGGTAATGGCTTGGCCACGCCTATCCGCACAGTTCCAGCTGGGGCTCCCTTCAGTGCATCCACAGCTTCTTCCAGACTGCTGCTCTCTAAGCTAATGTCATTGACAAACATGAGCCGATCTCCAGGAAGAAGGCGCCCGTCCTTCTCAGCAATGCCACCAGGCACCAGAGAACGAATGACAATCACAGTGCTTGCTGGGTCAACTGGGTCCTGATGGAATGCAACAAGAACTCGGTTTATTATTACACAGAAAACTGTGCATGTTGTGTTGTGTGTGCACACACACACCTGTGTGTACACATGCAGGACTTTGGGCTTGAACTCAGGGCCTGGGCAGTATCCATGAACAACTCTTGCTCAAAGCTAGTATCTACCACTTGATCCACAGCTCCACTTCTGGCCTTTTTCCCCCGCCTTTGGGTACTTAATTGGAGATAAGTGACTCATGGACTTTTTTGCCCTGGCTGTCTTGGAATTGTGATCCTCAGATCTTAGCTTCCTTTATAGTTAGAATTACAGGCATGAGCCATTGCCTGGCCAGATAACAATTTTCACAATTTGTCTCCTATCATGGTTAACAGGTTATTGCTTTAAGCATCATACAAAATTCCTTATGATCAAGGTACATTATGCGCATGTATGGAAAACTCATGATGTGTATGCATATATCCATGTATGCATATATACATATACACAAATGCATGTACACATCTAGAAACAAAAACAAAGTCTTTAAAACATTTCTTGTGAGTATCTGGACAAAGGTGATCTTCATTTCATTTCAGAGTGTCTGTAGACAAAGGTGATCTCCATATAATTTCAGAGTACATGCAAAACCCTCAGAGCAAAAGCACACTCATTTGCTAACACTACAGGATTAACTGCATAATTAACTTTAAAATTTTAATTTAAAATTTTTGGTAAGTTGTTAAATCTTACAACCATTTTAAACTATTATTAACAAAAGCATTTGTTCAATAGATGTTTGCAAACATGAGTATACGGAAGGTTGGGCCACTCCTTCGAAATGGAGAAATACAGAAAGAGCCCTGACATACTCAGGGATATCTGTGCTTACATTTACAGAGCAGCCTCAACCTTAGCCACGGCTCCCAAGTCCCGCCCAAAGAACACAACTCCCTGGAGGCATCAGAGATGGCTTTCTGTTCAGTATGAGGAGTCACAGCTGCATTCGGTCAGGCAGCTTTTAGCATTTTCCCATTTACTTGACACAAAACACAGGCAGGAAAGGATGGAGGTTACACTTGACCAATTTAAACATATTCATAATTTAGTAAAATGACTGGAATACCACAATTTAGAATATTATATATTATAAAAATATTATATTATATTATATTATAAAAATATTTACTTCACAAAAGAAATAAACATCTAACTCTCTGGAGTTACCATTACAATATGAGCCTCAATTAAAAACATGGAAATAAAAACAATACAAATTCTCCCTCTCCCCCCAAAAAAACTACTGTATTGTTGTAGCATTCCTAAAACATAATCTTCATGTTCCTCAAATTCTCAACAGCTGAAATATGTAACAGCTCAATATCAGAATTGAGCTCAGTGTCAGAATTATTATATTGAGTTCAATATTAAAAGAAACCCCTTATGATAATTAATGAATTATGTATGTTACTATGTTGAAAGGCTAAACAGAAACAAGCAATTGTCTACGAAAATACTAAAGTATTATTTTCATTTTTCTCTGGTAGCAGCAATGTACTTTTAGTATAAGGCATCTTTTTATAAAAAGTGTTCAAAGTACGATACATTTACCTGGTAATCTAAAATGCTAAAACCAAGGCCTCTGCTTCCTTTCTCCAGCTCTATGAACTGAACACCAGCCTCCCACATGGCCAAAGGTGCTTGGACCTCCTCCACATTCTGACCGGCTTCAGTCAGCACCAGCAGTGGGTCCTCTGTTTCTGAAGACCCAATGAGCTCACCTAGATCTACATGAGGCTGGAAAACAGATCAGACATCTCTTATTTCAGAGGGACTAGAGTAGCAGACACACATACCAATATTGCAGTGAAAAGGGAGAATCCCAGCATGTGTCCAGAACAAAATACTTGCAAATGAGCAACAGCTTATAATGACACCTTTAAGAATTAAGGCATTATTCCTGAGAGTTGTTAAGGGCAAAGAATGCCTAAATTGTAATAAGCAATAAAAGCAAAAGATCGAAAGATAGACTAAATTATTTGATAGTTATATCTTCCTAGTCAGAACCACATCTATAGAGACAAAAGTAAGAGAAGGAGGAAAAGAAAGAAGCAAGAAGCAAGAAGCAGAAGCAGATGCAGAAGCAGAAGGGAAAGAGAGAGAGGGAGGGAAGAAGGAAAGGAAGGAAGGATGGATGGAAGGAAGGAAAAAAGGGAGAGAGGAAGGAAGGAAGGTAATAATATCAGTTATTAAATGGGAAGAAAAGAGGTGCTGGTGCTGGTGCCCCATACCTGTAATCCTAGCTACTTAGGAAGCTGAGATTTGAGGATCACCATTCAAAGCCAGTCCTAGGCATAAAAGTTGGTGAGATTCTTATCTCCAATTAATCAGCAAAATGCTAGAAGTGGAGCTGTGGCTCAAGTGGTAGAGAACCAGCCTTGAGCAAAAAAGTCAAGAGAGAATGGGAATCCCTAAGTTTAAGCCCCAGTGCTAGCACCATGAATAAACGAAGGAACAAACGAACATAATTCTAATGATAAATAAAAACAAATGAAAAGTTTTTGTGTAAAGGCTGAATGTTCTATGCAAATAAGGATGGCAAAATGCTGTGACTTGTCCACATCATTACCCTATTAGACATTAATGTAACAGTAGAAAGGTATTTAGAGTTGAAATCAGAATGCTTGGGCTTGAAGATGGACTTATGATTTCTGATCTGTGTTATTTTGAGCAATATTCTTAACATGGGGTTATAGTTAACTTATTTCATAAAAGTATTTTGAAAATTAAGTAAAGTAACATGCATAAACATAGAAGAAATTAAACATAGAAGAAATTAAAGTAGATAGGTTAATTCAACTTCATTCATCTATATGGACATATATCAAATTTAAGGCAGACATGTTAATTAGGATGAAATTCTACTTTGTATACTGCTTTTGTTTAGATTGATTGCTGTATTGCATTGGGCATCAATGTCTTCAAATGATTTGTTGTAATTATTATATTTATACCACGTAAAATGTACATGGACATATACAGAAACAGCCTTTGGAAACACAATTTGGAATTATGTTTCTTGTTCAGCCCTATTCTAATCACCAAAATGAGTATTAAATTATGCACTTTATTCTTCAAAGTTTGCAAAATTATTTCACTGAATATCAAACCCCAACATCATCTCTAATTATACCTTAAATGAAATTTGACTAGGCCATAAATTATGCAAAGTTCAGATCTTAACTTAAGATAGAATATAGTGTATCCTCCATAGAACTGATTGGCTATATTGCTTGACTTTGATCTAAATGGAATAGGAAACAGGAAAAGGGGAGTTTCTGGATGTCACAGAGAATTATTTGACATGGACAATGAGCTCAAGTTTCACTTATTATCAAAGCAGAATGTGCAAATGAGCTGAAAACTATATATTCTGAAATAATGTCCACCATATTTTAGCAATTTACTAAGTAGTACTCAAATGACAGAGTTGGGTACTTTACAAAAAATAATCATTTTCCATCCATGATATTTATGTTTAAGTTTTCTCTTCTGCAAATGCAAATATAGGAAGTTAAGTAGGAATTGTTCAAGTAAATTATCCAAGAACATAGTATAGAACAACATCTAATATTATTCTTGTAGCCTTCAGAACAACCCGAAACAGGCAGAGTGAATTACATTTTACAAAAGAGCAAACTGAAGTTCAAAAAGGTGATGTGATTTGTCCAAGGTCACCCAGCTAGTATCATGTCTGGATTACACCCTGGTGTGTCTGTGAGCCACATGCTATTTAAGGAAACCAAATATCAAAGAGGAGGACTGCCTTTGAAAAGTAACACCATCTGGCCTGCCTACTGTACATTCAGATTCCCTCCATCTAGGCAAATATGATACCTTTTCTGTTATCTCAGTATCAGTGAAGTCCAGGGGATCCAATTCTAAATGGCCGGTGGATGGCACAGTTCGACGGCAGCACACCATTGTCACTTCTATAGGTAATTCTTTTAAAATATTGACCACATCCTGGTGATTTTCTCCAAGCAAAGTTACACCATTCACCTATACAAAAAGATACACTGTCCACGTAAGAAAACACTTTATCATACAAGTATACTCCTGAAAACAGTATTTCATAGATACACATAAAAGTTACTATGATGATAATTATAAAAGCACTAGCTTCCATTCATGTTTGTGAATTAAATGGAAAGTAGAAAAAGACAGGCTATGAAAATACTCCCCAAGGGTGAAGGAGAAAATATCATTTAAAAAAAAAACAGGCATTTTACACAATTTGCCACATAAAGTGGCATGTATTGTACACTAGAAATTTTTTCAACTGGATGGGGGGGCGCTGAGGGGGTACAAGTTTTCTTTTTTCTACATGAAAATATTGACTGATCTCAAAGAAACAAGTACTGACAGATACCTAGTTATGAGAAGTGGGTGGATAAGAAGGAGACTTTTCACTGTTTATCTTTGTGTTCTCTATTTAAAATAAAAACAAATTACCTATTCTAAAAATGAAATATGTTTGAAATGTTTCAAAGAAACCTTTCATCACTTGAATACAAAGCAAAGGGAAAAAATGAAACAACAAAAATACTGTGTTGAGGAGCTGGGAAGGTGGCTCAGTGGTAGAGCGCTTGCCTTGCATGCCTGAGGCCCTGGGTTCGATTCCTTAGCACCACATAAGCAAAAAGAAAAAAGCCGGAAGTGGCGCTGTGGCTCAAGTGGTAGAGTGCTAGCCTTGAGCTAAAGAGCTGAGGGACAGCGCCCAGGCCCAGAGTTTAGGCCCCACGACCAGAAACCCCCCCCAAAAGAAATACTGTATTGAATTGAGTCTGAAGATTAATAAACATAGATTTGAAATTTCTCCTGTGGATGGATTTTTATTTATAGGTATCTCTCAAGTAGTCTTGGGGGCTAAATTTACAGTAAGCACTTAAGTTAGTTATTCACTACATTCAGCCTCCTGAAGTTTTATGACAGCCTAACTCCAAGGTGAAAGAAAAGCACAGTCCTTACTTCCAGTAGCTCGTCCCCACTGAAGAGCTTCCCACTGTGTCCAATGGGCCCCTCAGGTAGCACGGATCTGATGAAATGATGTCCCACCGCTGCCTCCAGACTTATACCCAGCCCACTGCTCTCGCTAAACTTGCTCACACGGGCCACCTGAAACAACAGTGGTTGTCACATTCCTATTATTCTTCCTTTTGCTCTTTCATACACACGCATGCATTTTACATTCACACCCAACTGGTCAAGTGTCTTACAAAAGCTTCAGAAAGTTTACTATAAAGGTGTAAAACTTTGGAGCTTTGAAAGGGTATTAGTGGCTACTGGTTTTATGAACCAACAAAGACCAATAGGAAGCAGCCAGCAACAAGCACCCAAATGATGTTGGTGTCTATTGATGCTGAAAACAAATGGAAGGCAGTCACAGCTAACACAGGTCTTAAGCTCAAATGGTGGTTTTAAAAAAGACACACATGCCTCCATCAGAAAGAATGACATTGCCCCATTTGTTAGGAAATGTTAGGACTTGGAAAAAATTATGTTAAGTGAAGTAAGCCAGGCCCAAATAAACATAGGTCCCATGATTTCCCTTACATACATTAACTAGTATATGTCTAGGAAAAGCAGAAAAGGTCAAAAGCAATGTACATATGACCATATAAGATGATGTTAAGCAAAATGAAACCCAAGATAGGGACACAACTGGTTTTTTTTTCTTTCTTGCTATTGTTTTTACTGTCTTTATAATGTACTATGTGATTTTTTTGTTTCTTTTGTATGTTCCTCCCCCATGGTATAACTCCTGTTTTCACTGTATTTGATGTCAGTACCCTGCATCTTGTATATACATTTTTATAATGTGGGGAGGGGAAGGGAAATAACAAAATGCTCAAATAAGAATACAGGTGACCCATTTTAACAATGAGAGGTACAAGACACTATGTCACTATGTTGAAAAAAAACTTTACAACTTGGCAGTGACGGGGAGGGGGGGGGAGTACAAAAGAGGAATTAACTGCTCCATAGGAAATATACTCATTACCTTACTTATGTAACTGCAACCTCTCTGTACAGTACTTTTACAGTAAGCCAATCCCATAGAAATTTAGGTCCCATGGTTTCACTTATTTGCAATAATTAGCATACATATAGGATAATCTTATCAGAAGAGCTGAAAACTCAAAAGCTATTTACATATGTCCATAAAAGATGATGCTAAGTGAAATGAACCCCAAGATATGCACACAAGAGGTCTGTCTTTGTTGTTATTGTTTGAAATGTATCATGTGACTTTTTTTTTTGTTTCCTTGGTATGTTCTCCCCCCTATGGCATATCCTTTGTTGTCTCTGTATTTGATTTTGGTTCCCTGCATCTTGTATACACATTTGTCTAATCTGGGGAGGAAAAGAGGAATAACAAAACTCTGAAACAAGGACACAGGATGAGCCATTGCAGCAATGATACCCACAGGATAGTATACTGAAAATGAACTTTACAACTTCAGGGGGCAGGGGGAGGAGCGGGGAAGAGTGTGGGAGGTGGGGGAGGGAAGGGATAGTGGGACAACAACCAGGGAAGGGCTAACAATGATTGACAAGTAATCTACTCATTGCCTTTCTCATGTAACTGTAACCCCTCCATACAGCTTCTTTACAATAAAGTAAAAAATAATCTAAAAAAAACCATATATATACATACATACATATATATGTACGTACACACAATATACACATAAAGACACACACTATGCACTTGCTACTATGTGCCTGAGACTCTGATCCAGTCCCACAGGTTATCTCATTGGCTTCTCCTATGAAGGTACAATTTGCTCCCCAAATTCAGAGCTGACATTCAGTGAGGTTACCTTAACCAAAGTTGGGAAGATGGAAGAGGGCTTAAAGCTGTGCTCCTGATCTGCAGTTATACTGAGGGACAAACATGGCCATTAAAAGTGGGTTAGGGATGGGGATGTAGCTGAGTAGCAATGTGCTTGCCCAGAATACTCAAGGCACGGGGTTAGACCCCCAACCTCACAAAAGAAAAGAAATAAAAGTAAATATGAGTTGAAGTCATAGAGGTGAGTTTCTAATTCCTACCGTTACACATATAGTGTATTATATACATGAAGGTTTTTAAGACATAACTCATTTTCACACATAATGTAATAAGTACAATATGAAAATCAGAAAGAATTATAACAGTGGCCTTCATTGTTCTTTTTATTTTACAATTAAGGAAAATGAGATTTTAATAAAACCTGAGAAAAACTGTTTCATTCAAAAAGAGGTCTTTTAAGCAAGGCACTGGTGGTTCATGCTTTCATCCTAACTACTCTGGAGCCTGATATCTAAAGATCTTGCATAGCTCAAGGCTAGCCAGCATAGAAAATTCTGCAAGATTCTATCTCCAATTAACCAGCAAAAAACCAGACTGAAAGCTTGGCTTAAGTGGTAGAACACTACTAGGGCAAAACAATGAGTAAAATTGAAATACAAGCCTCAGTAACCGAAAATAAGAGAAGGGAAAAGGGAAAGGGTAAAGGAAAGGGAAAGGAAGGGAAAGAAAAAGAGACAAAGAAAAAGAAAAGGAGGGAGGGAGGGAAGTTAGGAAGGAAAGAAGAAAGAAAGGAGAGAGGGAAGGAAAGAGGGATGGAGGGAAAGACTAAGAAATAAACAAGAAAAAAGAGAGAAGGAAAGATGGACAGAGACAGAGACCAAGAAAGAAAACGAAATTATCTAACTGAAATCTAATGCTGCTGAAAAACCAAGTTACACATCATTTCCCCTGAACAGCCTTTCATGTCCTCACTGCTACACCATTCCTTCTATGATTGATGCTGCATGATGACAAAGAAAATATGATGTCTAAAGTATCTCTGACAAGGGTGCAGAAAAGACCTAGTTCTTTTTCACTGACAGCCCAATTGTGCCCCTTGGCAGATTACGGGGAGGACCCCCATCTTAGATTGTGTGTACACAAGGAAGTTAAAAGTTCAGTTCTGGCTCTCAATGTGTGACAGCATACCAGTCAAGGGCTTTCTTCCTTAGTCAATCACCACCAGAAGAAGTACAGCTGAAGCTGGGCCGGCCAGCCAGATAAGCCCACCTGAAAGTAAATGCTACAGCAATAACTGCTAAGCTAGACCATTTCTGATTTGATACTGACTCAATCTAAAATGATAAGAACAATCTCACTCAATGCTTACATGAATGGTAATCCACTGAGAGTTTCTTAAAAACTAAATTAGAGTCACCAAAAGTAAATGAGACATTAAAAACAGCAGCAAGTGACTGGGTAAGAGTCATTTATATATTATTACCTGTTGTTTTATTTCCATACCTCTGTTTAGAATGGAAGATTATGCCAGCTTGGCTGGATGTGCAAATTAACTATTCATAAAGAGAAAACATTCACTATTGCCTAACTGTTGTCAAGGACCCATGCAGAAATTGTGTGTAGGTGTGTGTGCTTATGCTGGTCTGGGACTTGAACTCAGAGCCTTGGGGCTGTACCTTAATTTTTTCACTCAAGGCTGGTACTCTATCACTTGAGCCATAGCTCAACTTCCAGCTTTTTGGTGGCTAAATAAAGAAAGACATTTCAGATTTGTCTGCTCAAACCAGCTTTGAACCATGTTCCTCAGACCTTAGCCTCCTGAGTACATGTGAACCTTCCTTTCTCAGTGAAGGGATTCACACAGTGATTTTAAAAAAAAAGTTGGGAGGCATAGAATTCTATGCCTCCATCAGAAAGAATGACATTGCTCCACTTGTTAGGAAATGGAAAGACTTGGAAAAAATTATATTAAGTGAAGTAAGCCAGGCCCAAAAAAACATAGGTCCCATGGTTTCCCTTATTTGCAATAACTAGTATATGTCTGAGACAAACAGAAATGATCAGATAAATTGATGTTAAACAAAATGAACCCCAAGATAAGGACTCAAATGTTTTTTTTCTTTCTTGCTATTGTTTCTAACATATTTATAAGATAATTTCTTTGTTGCTTTGTATGTCCCTCTCCCACAGTATAACCCCTGTTTTCACTGTATTTGATGCTGGTATACTTTGTGGAGGGGAAGGGCAAAAATAAATCGTTTAAATAGGGATACAGGTGGACCCATTGCAACAATGAGGTGTACATGTTATGTCGAAAATGAACTTTACAACTTTGTCGCGGCGGGGGGGGGGGGGGAAATGGGAAGGGATGGGAAGGGGAAACAAAGGAGGAGGCAACAATGCTTGATAAGAAATGTACTCACTATCTTGCCCATATAATTGCAACCCCTCTGTATGGTATTTTCACAATAAAAAAAATGTTGGGAGAAGAACTCTACAATTCTGGACATAAGTTATGATAAGTTCATCTTATTTTTAAGTAGAATCTGACATCCTATTCTAGTCCTTTCTATGAATCACAGGTTTGACAACCAACAAACCCTCTTTCATTTATTATTTAAACTCCTACCATAAATATTAAAATATCCATGTGTCATGAGTAATTTAAACTGCATTCAATTTATTTCAGCTTCCACATGAATGTTTTAAGGTCTTCTGAAAAAGCCCTGATACTCAGGAACTTTCTGAGATGATTATCACTGCCATGAATTTCCTACTCAGGCAGTTACAAGGCAAAAAGCTAGAGAGGGTACTCAAACCTACCACTATCTCATAGTTAATTCCCATGATCCTCTGCCACTTTGTCAGCAGGATAGCTTCTTGTTGCTGTGCATCTTCTGTTTCTTCTACCTCAGCAGACAGCAATGCATACCCTGAAATAAACAAAATAATGTAGGCAAATAAGTCAGTGACAAACTCCAAAACCCTCCCGAGCTTAACATTTTATACTATAGGGTCTGGACAGAACCTGTGTGTTATGCAAAGTCAGACTCTTTTTTTTCACATTTTTTTATTGTGAAAATACTGTACAGAGGGGTTAGAATTACATAGGCAAGATAATGAGTACATTTCTTATCAAGCATCGTAGCCTCCTCCTTTGTTTCCCCTTCCCATCCCTTCTCATCTTCCCCCCCCTACCCCCTCACTCAGTCCTTCCTACCCCCCATCCACCAAAGTTGTAAAGTTTGTTTTCAACATAATGACTTATACATCTCATTGTTGCAATGGGTCCACCTGTATCCCTAGTTAAACGATTTGTTTTTTCCCTTCCCCTCCACAAATTATGCCAACATCAAATACAGCGAAAGCAGGGGTTATACTGTGGGGCAAAGTCGGACTCTTTACCTAGAATGTCTTACTCTTATTTCTATACTTATTTCAATAACTTAATTTAGGACCCTATTTGCAATGTTCAACATCATTCTCTTTTAGTTTGAGCCTTTTAAATCTTAACTATGCTTATACTGAAGCATACATACACACACACACACAAACACACACACACACATATAATGTAATGTCTATCAAAAAGAATGAGGACTCTATGGTCACCTCCATGTCAGTTTCTTACTTGTTTGCATCTAGTTCTTGGGAATGTGGGGGATGGGGACCCCTAGTTCACTGTGAGGACTGGCTGCAGGAGATTTGATAGTGTGCTTAGAATGTGTATAATATGGAAAACCCTGGTTGTAAGATTATTTGTCCTATGCCTAAAGGCAGAATTATGAGTGTTTGAACTTTTGCACTAATCCCTGTTAAAAGACAGAAGACCCTGTATGTACTTATCTTAATGAGAAACTCCTGGATTCTACTGATTTTTTTTTGTCATCTACCTCAATTTTGTCTATTTTCCTGTAACTCTCTTCAGTTAGCCCTCGGCCATTTTAAACCTATAATAGTGGAGTTGGAGAGACATCTTAATCTGTCGGTCAAACTCATTCCCCACCTCATGGTGGTAAACAGAATATCAATTAGTTAATCAACAATATTCAGAGATACCACTGCATGGGCATTTCCTTATTCATTGCCCTGGCCTTCACTGGTTGGAACTGGCAGGTGGGATATGCTATTACTTAACAAAAACAAAAGCAATTAATAAGTAACATACACACTAGGCACCAATGGCTCACTCCTGTAATTCTAGCTACACAAGAGGCTGAGATCTGAGGATCAGAGTTCAAATCCAGCCCAAGCAGGAAAGTCTGTGAGACCCTTATCTCCAGTTAACCACAAAAAAGTGAGAACCAGCTTTATAATCAGAAAGGAACTGCTTTAATCTAGCAAAGCAATTAACCATTTATAAACACTGTTTTACAAGGCCCTCCTTTTTTGGACTTTTTTTAGTAACATATAGTAAATCCATAAAGTTTTGAAAATTTATAGTATAAAGTCTTCATCTCATTTGTAAAAACTACTTCTCTAAAACTACAATGATGGATGTCATACCCTAGCTCTAAATGTTTACCTTCTTCTTCAATTGGTAATATGCTGGTGTTCCTCTTCGATGATAAGGAATCTTCATCTTTTTCATAGTTTTCTTAAAGATAAGAAATAGTTTAGTAGTTATATCTAAAACATAACCCAGCAGTGAATTTCTCTAAACTTACTGTATTTGTTTGAATGTCTTCATGAAGAGTCTGTTTGCTGGAGATACGCTCTTTCATGACTGTATGCACTTTTAGAAAGTGCCCCAGTAATACACAGTGTTCCCCCTGCACCCTGCCTCCAACCACCAAAAGTACTGCCTAAGTACCAGAAATGTTGGCAGTCAGTAGTCAACCAGCGCTTTCCAGACAACACCTTCCACTCAGTAAGCTACACAGGGATTTCAGTAAAAGTGCAGATATTCATGCAACAACAGTTTATGAATGGCATTTCTAACAGTGGGATTAAGAGTTAATTTCTTCAAAGAAAGACTGGGCATTTAAAATCACCAGAATCTCACATAAACCATCCAGACAGAACTGTATCCCCCATAAGGAAGACTATTGTGAAGATACCCAACAGTAAAGCAGGTGGTTACACATCTCCAGCTGGGCAACGGTGACTAAGGATGACTGAATAGAAACAAGCATGGCTGAAAAGAAACCTGCTTTACTCAGAGCCCCATTCTGAAGCTTAGAGACAGGTAGATGCTTCCTGATAGCTCCAGCTTTATTAAACTCCCTTTCTCTACTTGGTTCACCATGAACACTCCAGGGTGAAAAACATTTCTTAAGTAAATTCCTTTAAAAAATTTAAATATAAAAATCTAAGTAATGTAAAGGTCCAACTGACAACCAGGTGCATATAGCATTACCTTTGCTTACGCTGGCTACTGCCAGAGACACTTCAGGGTCTGCTGTGATGTCCTCCCTTGGTGTGGCCTCTGTGTCCTCCCTCATCCCTCTCCTCATTAGTGTCAGGCGTACGGTGTGCCCGGTGTGTCGCAACACCTCAACTGCCTGTTGATTAGTAAATCCCTGAAGGCTTGTGCCATCCACCTGTGACAGAGAATGAAAGAGGATGGGTATGTCCAAATACTTCATAAATGGGATGAACGTGGAACAATGACTCCTGTGGAGATGGTTTGGGGAAGGTGAAAAGGGCAATGATGTAGAGCAATGAAAGGACTGAATTTAATCGAGGTAAATTGTGTGCATCGATGGACCTGTCAGAATGAACTTCTTTGTACAACTAAGTGATGCTAATAAAAAAAAAGTGGATGACAAAAAATAAACTCACATTTATACTGAGAATTCACAAAACATGTAATTACTGCTTACTAATGTGAGAAGGGAAGGAATGAGTATTTATACACATTTAGTGACCAACATTAGAAACCCCTCAGTGGCAGTGCTAGAAATCCTTTAAGAGCTTGGTTTAAGACAGACTTGGGGGTAACACTTCTAGAAATTATGAGCCAATAGTTCGGAGGAGGGACCAGGCTTCTATGCCTTTTCAAATATTATTTTATGTTCCTAGGATGATCCAGTTGCAAGGCTAAGTTTCAGAAGCAGCATTGCAAAAATATAGACATAGAAGTAAAGAAAGCACTCATTGTCTTCCAAATATTAATTTACACTGCCCTTAGAAAAATATAAAATTGAAATCCCATTGGTTTTATATTCCAAATAAATACAACCTTACCCTCTTTTTAAATTCAAAAGTGACAAAACAGTTGACTCAGCTCCTGCCATCTTTTCTAAGCATTGGTAAGACATCAAACTACCCTAATCATGCCTTCTGTAGATTAATCCTGAACACCAGACTCCATCCCTAACGTGGCTTACGATGGCCTGGCCAATTGTCCCCTTCTCTCAGCAGTGCCACTACCCAGCACCACCCTCAGCCTGCCTGGTACTGCCACTGTCCTCTGCCCTCAAGCCACTGGGGGCTCCTGTCCAGTCCTCTCACTTGCAGTACCCTACTCAACAGAGGGGCCTTAGACAGCCGACTACAGCCCATCGTATGATCTTTCTCTTCACCTCGCTTAGGAAACATTTATAATCCTTTTGGCTCTATATCCAGAAGTTATTTCCATATACCTTGACTCCAGTCAAAACCCATCTGTACCCATTTTCCATCATAAAACTTGTTAGTATTTTCTCCTCCATAATGAATGTGATTTATATCTGTTTGCTCCAAAGGCAGGGTCTATGAATTTTCTGCATACAACAATGTCACTAAATCATAGTGTTGTCTATAAAAGACATTCATCCCAAATAGGAGTATAAAGACACTACATCATATGTCTAAGATTTCTTTGGAAATGAACTTTTGGAATGGACAGCAAAAATGGACCTCCTAGCAACATAAGAAGGAGGCCAAAGAGACAGTCATTTCTAATTATCTGCCAGGCTCACCTAGCACAAGGCCAGCTTACAGCAATGTGAAAACAAATAGCTCATTATCCTGCAATCTACCAACACATTTTCTTATAACATTCTATTGATGAGAGATTAATCCAGCACTTTGTACCAGAAGAGCCAGAAACTGTCACTAGTTATAGTAGGAAGAATTTAGTAATAAACATATGAAGCCCAAGGCTTCATGGGGATGATCATTCATAACCAAGTCACATATGAGCCACAGAGGCCGGAATCTTTGATCCTCTGGCTCCACCTGTTCACGAAGAGTTAAGAGTCAGATCAAACTCAGTGATGCCAAAGAGTGCAATACGGTGATACAATCCAAGAGAGCAGGTTCAATAGTAGCAATTTTTCCCTGTGAAAAGATATCAGCGTCCTCATAATGTCCAGTGCTGACACCAAAACCAAAAGAATCAGTTACAGGGAAGAAATACAGCTCACAAAACCTAACACCCAGCACGCTCAGTTATAGCTTGCCAAGGCCTCCTTCAATACTGCCAGTATCTGTTGACAGAAAATGTGAACCTACTAAGAAAAGTAATACTTGACACGCTTCATTATTTATAGGCTTGCCTAATAATTTTCACCCATCAGTTTAGCATGGATTGCTAAACTCCAAATTAAAAGTATGATTTTTTATGCAACAAGCTTATTCTAGTTAAAAAACAACACAAAACAATTAAAAGTCCTTTTGTCAAATAATTGTTACATGGAATACCAACCTAGGTAGGGTGAGTGGTGAACCCATCTGATCTGTTCCTACTCCTGTAATGCCCATAGTGAAACACTAGGGGTCCACAGAATGCAGTGTGTGTGATAGGAATCTTACAGCACAATAGTGTTACGTTCCAAAATAACACTTGCTCAAAATAGTAAGAAATAATTTCTTAATCTTCTCAGCATGCCAACAAAATAAGAATAGATCTAGCTCCAATAGCAGCTGCCAAAACAAAAATAGAACAAACAAGCTAAAAGACCACAGTTGTGAAAATGTAAGGAGGTGTGAAGGACTTCACTACCAGTAGATCAACCATCCACAAGTTAGTGACAATATATTGCACAAAGTTTACAAGACTGAAGCATTACAAGGTATACTCCAAGAGTTTAGGTGCTGCTAACTCTGAAGATGATGTTGTTAAAAAGACATGAAGATAAGAGATTTGTTGTGAGAGCAGGAAACAACTATTAAGAAAGAATATTTGTACTTTGTGAGTCAGCAGTTGAAGGAATGATATCTAAGATTCCCTTACATAAGAATGGAAACAATGATAGGTTTAGAGGGAAGCAAATAGGTAATTTCAGGCCCTTAGTAAACCTCATAAATAATCAAAATGAACTTATGTGCTAAATGTCTTGCCAGCTATTAAATAAAAGTCTCATCTGGCTGTCCTAAAAATAAAAATCAAGCAATGGAAGCTTCTACATCTCCATTTTGTAGGCAAAGAAACTGAAACAAAACTTGTGACACAGAACTTTCCCAAGATGGAGCAACCTTCATAAACACCAGGGAAGTGAAAACATGTGTTTGCCTATATGACTTTGTACATCCAGTTCATTGCAGCATTATCCAAAATAGCAACAGTGCAAAACCAGCTCTCTTTGTTCAAACATGGTGAATGTGGGTAATTCTGGTGTACTATATTCTAATAGAGGACATGAAGAATTAACTCATGCTATCATAGATGAACCTCAAAAACATTCTGCTAAGTGAAATGTCACAAAGAACCAAATTCTAAAACAGTTCCATCTACACTAGATATCCCAGGGAAGGCAGAGACAGAAAGCTTGGTGGCTGCCTAGGATTAGAACTCAGTGGGATTAGGAATGACTGGTAATGAGTTTGGGATCTCTTCTTACAGTAATGAAAATAGTTTGAACATGGCAATGAATGCTCAACTCTAAAAAGATATTAAAAGCCACTGAATGACTTACCTTTTTATATTAATTATTTTTATTTGAAAATGCTACAACCAGAAGTATTACAGTTGGATGAGTCAGACAAGAGTACATTCCTTTTGGACAACGCCCTTTCGCTTGCTCTCTCCCTGTTTTTCCCTCCCATCCCACCCACAAGTTGTATAGTTCTTTTTCATTTTTGCCATTTTCTTTTCTTTTTGCTTTGTTTGTCTGTATGTCTTTGAGGGTATGAGGGTAGGCACAGAAAAGGGGAGGAACAAAGGGTAAACAAATGCAGCAAAGACACTCACTAGACACTATGTTGAATCAGATACTTTAAACGGAAAAAATTATATATACTATGTCAATTGTATCTCAATAAAGCTGATTTTTAAAATCTAGTGAAGTAATCCACTCAAAGAAGGACAAAGATGAAGTAAGTTTGTATTTTCAATTTTTAATTCAGCATCATGTGTGAAATAAAGACTACATCTATTCATTCTTGCTCTTTTTTTTTGCTTTTCTTCTTTTGGTGGTACTGGGTTTTACATTCAGGGCTTCAAACACGGTTGCTCTTCATCCATATCTCCAGCCCTTTCTGCTTTGTAAGTTTATATATATATACTTTAGATAGGGTCTCTCAGGGCTGATCTAGACCATGATCCACCTATACATATAAGGTTCTCACATGTAGTAGGGACCACAGGTGTGAACCATCATACTCAGCTTGTTTGTGGAGATAGAGTCTTCCTAACATTTTGCCCTCTGAGCATGATCCTCTGGATCTCTACCTCTTGAGTAGCTAGGAATAGCATGAGCTACCATCCCCAGTCTCTAGTCATTCTCCTTCCAACTCTCTCTCTCTCTCTCTCTCAAAATAAAAAAAAATGAATTACAGTTAATTCATGGTAAAACAAAGGTACACTGAAGAGGTTTTTGCAGTACACAGCCAAATTAGGTGGCAAGCTAATTTAACTGCACTCCTAAATTGACTGTTCAAATAAAACTTTCTGTACAAGTACTTAAGATAATTTAAAAAAATAAAAATAAAGTGAACCGGCACCCGTGACTCATGCCTGTAATCCTAGCTACTCAGGAGGCTGAGATCTGAGGATCGCAGTTCAAAGCCAGCCCAGGCTGGCTCTCTATACACAAGAAAACTCCTTGAGACTCTAGAAAACTGGTGGTGGTGCTGTGGCTCAAACGGTAGAGTGCTTGCCTTGAGCTGAAGTGTGCAGGGACAGCGCCCAGACCCAGACTGACAAAAATAAAAACTAAAATAAATAAATAAATAAATGTGAAAAATAAAAATAATGAGTGAATGAATGTGGATAGTCACAGCAATGAACTCTAGAATACTATATGTATTATAGTCTCAAAAGGCAAGGAGTCTTTTGTCTATCTAATAAAAAAAAAACAGAAAACACATAACATAAAATTACTTTTTTTGGGAAAAAAAATGCTGGTTTTGATATCACAGCCTAACTTAGAGCCCTATACGGTCTCATATTTTTGCCCTACCTGACCATGATCCTCCTACCTACACTTCCCACATAGCTGAGATAACAAGATTACAATCATACACAGCTGTTTGTAGAGATAAGGTCTCACTAATTCGTTTTGCCCAAGCTGGCCTGGAATCATGATCCTCCCAATCTCTATATTCCACATAGCTGAGATTATGTGTGGACTACTATAGTTGGCAAAATTACCTTTTGTGTGTGTGTGGATTGTGTATGTGCGCATGCCAATTTTGGGGCTGGAACTCAGGGCCTGGTTGCTGTCCCTGAGCCTTTTTGCTCAAGGCTAACACTCTACTACTTGAGCCAAAGCTCTACTTCTAGCTTTTTTCTGTTGATTAGTTGAGAGGTAAGAGTCCCATGGACTTTCCTGACTAGGCTGGCTTCAACCCATAATCCTCAGATATTAGCTACCTGAGTGGCTAGGATTACAAGCATGACCCATCAGTGCCTAGCAAAATTACCTTTTTTTTTTTTATTCCATTGTGGGGCCTGAACTCAGGGCCTAGGCAACTGCCCTGGAGCCTCCATGTGCTCAAGGCTAGGTTCTACCACTTGAGCCATAGTGCCACTTCTGGATTTTGAGTGGTTAGTTGGAGATAGTCTCATGGGAACTTTTCTGCCTGGGTTATCTTTCAACTGTGATCCTCAGATCTCAGCTTCCTGAGTAGCAAAGATTACAGGCATGAGCCAGTGGTGCCTGGCAAAATTACTTTTTTTTTTCTGGTCCTGGGACTTGAACTTAGGGCCTGGTCTCTGTCCCTGAGCCTCTCTATGCACAAGGCTAGTACTCTACCACTTGAGACAACACCACTTCTGGCTTTTCTGAGGAGTTTATTGGGGATAAGAGTCTCACAGGAACTTTTCTGCCAGGACTGGCTTTAAATTGGGATCTTCAGATCTCAGCTTCCTGAGTAGCTAGCTTTATAGGTAATAGCCACCAGTGCCCAGATAAAATTACCATTTTTAAAGGTACAATTTACTAGTGTTAAGTATACTTAGAATGTCATGTAACAGATCTCATTTTGTAAAATGTATCACAATTCTATTGAGTAAACAAACTTCATATTAGAGAGATCATCATTCTACCTACTGTTCCTCTAACTGACTGGGTTAGATACCTCAGGTAAATAGGATCATGCATTATATCTTTTTTAAATGACAGGTTTATTTCATTTAGCATAATGTCCTCAGGATTCATCCATGTTGTAATATATATAATGATAATAAGTCTCCTAACCTAATTTTAGCCAGGAAGCCCCTAGTAAGAGGTTTTTGAGTTTCTGTTTCTGGGAGCAGTTTGGGATATCTAGTATCTACTAGAGCTGAACCGAAGGTTGGATTTCCTCATATGCTCTTCCTGAATCTGCAGTATGCTTAAATCCTATGCATAGTGATGTAATCAAGGATCTCCATCTACTTCTTTCCTGTATATTCTTACAGCAGAACAGAACTCTGGCCATGCAGTTAATAGTAACAGCAGAGTTCTGATGATTTAAAATTTAAAAGAAAAACTTCATCTCAAATTCTGAATTGGATCCCCTAAAGGTCATGATATCTGGGCTTTATTTTGAAGTTTATACAAATCTAACTGTAATATTAATGAAACAAATTCATGATAATGAGAAATCAAAAATACCAGAAATTATACAAAAGTCTTACCATTCAACTAAAATTAGTAAAGCATGTAATCTAATGATCTATTTTGTTTCTACAAAAAAATTTAAATTAGTAGACCTCACTGAAATTCTCCACCATAACCCAATTAAGAGAATACCCTTCTCAATCACAAGTATTATTGAATGTCAAACTCACTGCTATGATCTGGTCTCCAATGTGGATTCTTCCATCATGTTCAACAGCACTGCTTTTTGTAATGCTCTTTACAAAGATTCCTGAAGGTTCTAAGATTAGAAAGAGGATATTTATCACTATTTTCAAAGCACACTCAAAGAATATCCATCTCTAGTCTCCAAATCAATAGCCCCAATTGCAAATGAACAGGTATCCACAATGCACACAAACAAAACCACTAAGAGGAAGAGGAGGCACTTGTTTGGTCCGTGTGTCAGCATATGATATTAAATTGTTTCTAAGAAGTTTTCAACTACTTTATCCAACAATTTGAAACATAATGCATTGATTCAGTATTTCATAGATCCAGATAATAGAAGTAATTGCAAAGCTTTGAAAATTACTTAGGTTTTAAATTACCTAATTTTTTGTCTCCAATATAACCAGCAATCGTAATTCCTAATCCTTGGACATTTTTAGTGAGTTCCACATCAAAGGTCTCACTTTCTTCACTTTTTTGGGTAGAGGCATCAACCTGAAATAAATAAATAACATAACATAACTGTCTTCCAGGAAAAGAATGAAAATCATCAGTTCGACCATTCAACTAATAAGCAGTTTCTATGTAAGAGGTACTTGTCATGTCTCAATTTATTACTTTTTATAACAGTATAAAATTCCTTATGTTCCTTACAAATCAATGAGCTAAATACAATTATTGCAGCAAGCTTTCTTTGGAGAAATTCTCTGGCACTATAACTTTTCTAAACATCTAACATCTAGTAGAAGTAGAATTTCAACCCAGATAATCTACATATAAGTTTCTGCTCCTAAATGATATACAGTACATAAAACATTTAGTAGAGGAAGTGGTGCTGTGGCTCAAGCGTTAGAGTGCTCACCTTGAGCTGAAGAGCACAGGGACAGTGCCCAGGCCCAGAGTTAAAGTCCCACGACCGACCAAAAAAACAAAAAACCATTTAGTAGAATGTAGTGGCCATAGTGCCCATATGTTAGTTTCTATTGCTACCTAAAATTTATAGTTAATTATGAGACAATGCACATGAGTTACTCTATCCTGACCTCTATCATAAATAGGTCTTATTTTGAAAACCAGTGAAGTCTCTTAAATTGTCCTTGTTTTTGTTCTGTACATTCGAACTTTACTATGAAGATAAAAAAAGTATGCCTTAACATCTTTCCAGAATGCTAGCAAGAATCAGGGTTCTCAGAAACAGCCTTCTCCAACATGTAGAACTGTTATTAATTGTCTATTTGACCAAAGGGTATGATTTTGTAAATGAAGCATTCATGGACTAGCTCAGTATGTCACCATAAACCATTGGTACTAATGTCAGCAGAATCAACAGACAATCCTGGAAAATACATGACAAAGGGAAGACTATGGGATCTAATGGCAACTCTTACTATATATCACTAATGGTCTACCTAAATAAGATAACTTTACAATAAAGTTTGGTTTTATTTTTTTCATTGAACATAATTATCTGTGCAAACTTAGCAAAAGTTTAAAGTTTAGATAATTACAAGAAAATGACAGGATGAAATCTGCTTCAATTGAAACAAATGTGTTTTCTATTTTTAATAAGACTTATGCGAGTGCTATTTTAGAGGGTGGCAATTTGACTATCGAATGGTTTTAAACAGGGCACAAGCTTCAGAAATGATGATATGCACAGAATAGATATTTTTCTAAGCTTTCAATTACATCAAGTGGTTTTCGGTATTGCATTCATTTATATATTGCTGAATAAAATGTTTTGTTTACCACAAAAGAATGCCATTTAAACACTTCCATAAACAAGCTCTCTTTCTTACTTCTTTTTCTCTGCAAAAAATAGCAACCAAATTCAATCCTAAAAACAACACAATCATGGAAATTTCAAGTGTTCTAATAAAACCTTAAAAGGCTTATGGAGGAGGCGAGGATATTAGAAAAGAATTTGTAACAATTGGTTATAAACAACTTTAACAGAAGAAAAACTTTTATATCTATGGAAAAGGAATGGAGGACTTTTATCTCATCTAAACCTTATCTAGAAACTGAATATAATCTTTCCTTAAATATTAAAGAGATTTCTAGATAAAATTATTTAGTTAATATTTTATCCACTGTAGTCTTGTGACCTGTAAACCAGCTGCAGCAGTTACTGTCTTCCAGTTTAGAATTTTCCATATCAAATTAAAGGCAAAGATAGAAGGTTATGCTTATGAATAAAGGTTTTCTTACAACATAAAAATGTTTTATTTTTTGAGTAATAAAATTTTTATTTAAGCTGGGTGCCAGTGGCTCACACCTGTAATCCTAGCTACTCAGGAGGCTAAGATCTGAGGATCGCAGTTCAAAGCCAGCCTGAGTAGGAAACTCCATGAGACTCTTATCTCCAATAAACCACTAGAAAACCTAAATTGGCACTGTGGCTCAAGCGGTAGAGTGCTTGCCTTGAGTTGAAGAGCTGAGGGACAGCACCCAAGCCCAGAGTTCAAGCCCCACGACTGACAAAAAAAAAAAGACTTAAAAAATATTTAAGAATTGAGGATTCCTTATAAATCTAATAATGCTGAGACATACCTTAAAACAGCACAACACTGAAAAGTTTTTAAGACTTATTCACTCCTACCAACCCTGCTCCGGGCTCCCAACCTCCACACATCCAGAACAACAAAAAGACAGTAAGAAGACACTTGTAGAATGGGAAGGATTGTAACTATGACCCCACTTACAGACAGCATTCAGATTCAATGAATTATTAAACATTCAGATACTGAAAGAAAATAATTCTTTAACATTTCATCCATAGTTCTAAGTACTATCCTTATAAATGCAATGCTTTGGGAAAAACACAAAATGATCACCTAGAATTTTTAGCAAACTATTTTGGATGTTTTGATAACAAATGATTATTGCTGCAACATTCTTAACATTAGAAATTTATTCCATTGGTTCACATTGATATATGAACATTGGTAAACTAGATTGACCATCCATCATTGTCATCTGAGAGCCTTTCCCTCTCACTTTCCTGTGATTTGTTTTATCACTTACCCGCATATCTGGAGCAGAAGACGGGGAGGAAGAGATTCCCACAGTGGTGGGTGCTGCTGTTTCCTCCATGGCACCTCTTGCAATCATCAACTTAACTCTATTTCCACACTGTCTAAGGACTTGTGCTACTTGTTCACTGCTCATTCCTGCCAGATCTGTGTCACCAATCTTGAGAATGTGGTCTCCACTGCATAACCTCCCATGCTGAATGAAAAAAGAGAAGCTGAATAATGTTATTGTAAATGCTTTAGACAAATTCCTAAATGTGGGAAGGGAATAATAAAAAATGGCAGTGATGAGACTTTATGCCAATCCTCAGACATGACATATGTTATTTGTAGCATTGTCTTCTGAATCACTGCAGTATCATTTAATGCAATATAATGCAAATAAAATTGACAAATATTCATAAAATCAGTAGTTGATATAAATTTTCATTTTGATATCTAAATAGGAGAAAATGTCTTTTCGTGTTTCATTTTGTTGAGAGTTCAAAGAAAAAAAATACCATTTAAAAAACATGCAATAACTATTACTTAAAATATGCTAAGAACCACAAAATATTTAGTTCCTTCAATCATAAGTACCTCAAAAGAAGAGAAACATAGACAAAAATCATGGTGAGGTGAAATTTGCACAGATGAGGGACATGAAAAGCAATCTTTAAGCCTCCTTAAATGGAGGTTTAGTGATTAAATGGTTAAGTAACTGAAACAAAATAATGGCCAAATAAGACTTTTATATCCAGCAAGGTTATTTTATTAAATTGATGGGGAAATAAAAACCTTCCATGATAAATATAAATTAAGGCAATTCATAACTCCTAAGCCAATATAGCAGAAGACGCCACAAAGATAAGAGGAAGAAAGATATGCCACCAAAAGAGCATGGAAAAAAAACTATCACTTGACTAAGAGTTAAACAAATGAGAAGGGAAGAATCAAGCATAATTCAACATGCCAGCAAACCTCTAATCAAAGAGGGAGAAGCTCATACAAACCCTTAGCCATAACCTTAAATATAAACAGTATATACTTCCCAATTAAGCTAGGTACTGGTGGCTCAACCCTGAATCCTAGCTACTTTGGAGGCTGATATACGAGGGTTTGCAGTTAGAAGCCAGTGTGGGCAGGAAGTCTGTGAGACTCTTATCTCCAAGTAACACCAAAAAACCAGAAGTGGAGTTGTGGGAAGCAGAGCCATGGTTCAAGTGGTAGAGAACTACTAGGCTTGGGCCAAAGAAACAAGGACAGCACTGTGTCCTGAGTTCAATCTCCAGAATCAGCACCATTAATATATATAATTCAGACATAAGTCATTTGTAAAACCTGGATGAAGACAGAGATCTTATTGTTTAGTAAACTAAGAGACTCATAAAGACAAAATACCCCATACTTTCTTGAATGAAGAATTATGTATAATTTTCAGAAATACTACATGAATGTAGAAGGGGGAATATTAGGTAAGGGGGGGTCAGTAGGAGAGAGAAAAGGGGAAAAAAGAAGGTGGGTGAGTATAATTAAACATACATGAATGTGTCATAATGAAGATTACTACTTTATAAAATTCATACATGCTAATAAAATGGGAATGGGGGGGGGAATAATTACTATTCAGGAGGCTAAAATCACAAGGACCATGAGCCTAGCCCAAGCAAAAAGTTCCAAAACTCCTTTCACAAACAATAACTAACATGGAACTGAGATCAAGAGGTTCATGGTTCCAAACCAGACCAAGAAGAAACTTTTGTAAGTCTCCATTTCAACAGCAGAAGTTGGTATAATAGAGCTCATCTACCATTTCAACTATGGCAGGAAGCACCAAGTATGATGATTACAGTAGAGCCTGGGCCCAGGTAAAAAGCAAGGTCCTGTAACAAAATAACTAGTGTATGAAAGGGACAAAGGTGTGGCTCAGTGATAGAGCACCTGCCTATCAAATACAAGATTCAATACTGCCAATTAAAAAACAAACTTTAAAGAATGAAGACATGCTATTGGATAAAATAGCACTGAAGGCAAATTGAAGTGGCTTACCTGATCAGCTACTCCTCCAGGTAGGATAGTTTTGACTATCACACCCGTTGCTTTACCACCAATGATGCCAAAACCCAGACCAGATCCATCATTCACCAGTTCAATTGTTTCCACATGCTGCCAGTGAACCTAAACATAAACCTCTTGTATAATTTGTATAAATCTGCAAAAACTACAGTTTTATGGTGATTATTTTATTGGTAGGAAGTAACAGTTCAGACAGACTAATGAGCCCTAACAATGTCCCTTTCCTTCACCGTACAACCCTCTCAACAAACTGTTCTACTAGTGATAGAATCCTTTTTAAAATAATCAATCCATCATTAATGACTGCACTTCACCAATGCAGTTCTACAAGGTATTTGTAGAACTTTTTTTAAAAAAGAGAAGGAAGGAAGGAAGGACGAAAGGAAGGAAAGAAGGAAGGAAGGAAGGAAAGAAGGAAGGAAAATTTAAAGGAGAAAAACTCTCATTACATGTTAGATGACTGCTTAATGTCACCAAAAACTAATTGTTAAAAAAAATTATAGAGGGCTGGGAAGGTGGCTCAGTGGTAGAGTGCTTGCCTTGCATGCCTGAGGCCCTGTGTTCCATTCCTCAGCACCACATAAGCAAAAAGAAAAAAGCCGAAAGTGGTGCTGTGGCTCAAGTGGTAGAGTGCTAGCCTTGAGCTGAAGAGCTGAGGGACAGTGCCCAGGCCCAGAGTTCAGGCCCCACACCGGGCCCCCCCCCAAAAAAAATTATAGAATTTATCAAGAAAGCCAAAATTGTATTTGTCTACAGACAGAGTCAATTTTATTAAAGACTACATTTTATTTACAGGAATTCTGTCCTAAAACCACACAAAGAAAGCAGTTTTAGAAGCTAGAAACTTAAATCGAAACTTAGTGACAAATATTGCAAAGTAAGGAAATGATCAAATAATAAAAAGTCAAAAATCTCAACAAACAGAAACAACCTAGAAAGACGAGAAACCTGAAGAAACAGAGAAGCTTATTCTGTTGCTTCTGAAACTCCTCAGCACCCACCGGATTCGAGTGAGCAGAGATGGTGCTGGCCGCAGATGGAGACCGGGACACTCGGGGGCTGATGACTTGGGGCAAGGAGCCTCTGGCAATAACTAGCTGGACAGTCTCTTTAGCCTTCTGTAGGATACTGATAGCCTGCTGGTGTGTAATTGTCTGATCAAGAACCTGTCCATTGATAGCAAGGATCTGATCATTTTCCTTCAGTCTTCCATCTCTGTCAAGGATGGAAATGGGTGATAAAGGACACAGAGTTCTCAAGGAAGTAACAGTTTCCTTAGCAAACATGCTCAGGTCACTGTTAATCCTGTTTTCTATGTTGCACATTGTTAAAGCTTTTCCTGTAGTTCTCCTTTAAAAGTATATGATTTACCTCCATGGGATCAACTTCCTTAAAGGAATTCTTTTGCTACCCCTCACCAATCTCTCTCATTTAAAAGACTTGTTTTTCAACTACTCATGGAACCCATCTATGGTCTTATCATCCAAGCTTTTAAAAATGAAAATATACATTGCCTTGTTTCTTTGGGTACAGTAATGAAATGTAGTTCAAATATCAAATGATATTTCTATGGTAGTAGATTTCAAAGCCTAATCAAGAGCCCATATAATATCAATAAAAGTAAAGTTATACTCAAACATTTTCTTTCCTAAAATATAATGAAATTACATGTGTTTAAAAGGTACTTCCACATCCAAAAACTTGCTTTTCTATCACAAAAATGTTAATGACTGAATATGGGCAGATGAAATACATGAAAAAAATTTTAAATGTTAATGACTTAAAGTATCAGTTAATAACTGGTTATGTTCCATTTTGTTTCCATTCAGTTAATGTTTTTCTAAGTTCCCCTAAAGTAATCAAAACTCTCTGACTAGGGTCAAGACAGAGAAGGTGCTATGACAATCTCACCTGTGAGCCACACTGCCCTCTTGGATCTCTTGCACAAATATTCCCAGCTCTCCCCTGTTTCCACTCCTGAGCCCCACAACACTAAACCCAAGGCCTCCACATGGAGGTTTGAGGAGCTCAAAAACTTCCACATGGCGACCCTGTTCCAGAAACAAAGCAAGAAATAAAATGAGAAGCCAAGAGTAGTCAGGTATAGTGATGAACTCTTTAATCCCAGACTATGGAGGTTGAGGCAGAAGGATCATATGCTCCAAGCCAGCCTAGGCTGCATGCACTGTGTGATCCAAGTGAGCCTGGGCTACTTAGTGACATCAAGGCCAGCTCAGGCTATAACCTAGCCTCAAACAAATTACAGACGCTAATTGCTACAGTTAATCATCATCTTATTATTGGCATTATTCGATGTGCAAAATACAAAGTAAGAATTTAGATTAAAAAATTCTGTGCATGCGTGTATGTGCGTGTGTGCATGTGCTGATAGAAGGACTTGAACTCAGAGCCTCCCACTCTTGCTTAGCATTTTCTTTTTCTCAAGGCTAGTGGTTTACCAGTGGAGCCACAATTCTACTTCTGATTTTTTTTTCTGGCTACTTGGAGATAAGCTTCTGTTTGGGCTGGCTTTGAACCTCAATCCTCAAATTTCAGCCTACTGAATAACAAGGATCATAAGTGAGAACCACAGGTACCCAACCTGGAAAACCTGTCCTCAGATCACTTGTAGTACTCTACCTAGAACGAAGCATTCTACTTTTCCAAAAATTTTTCTGGAATGGAACATACAATAATTATTTAAAATGTGATAATAAGCTAGGCACAAGGAATAATAGCCTTATGCCTGTATTCTTGTGATTGCAGGAGGCTAGGATATAAGAATCATGGTTCAAAGCTAACCCAATCAGGAAAGTCTCTGAGACTCGAATCTCAGATTAAACTCAAAAAAACAAAAACCAAAAAACAAAACAAAACAAAAACCAAAAAACAAAACAAAACAAAAACTGGAAGGGGAGCTGTGGCTCAAGTGGTAGAACATCAGCCTTGAAAACAAAAATCTCAGGAATAGCATCCAGGCCGAGTTCAAACCTCAGGACCAGCATAAAAAGGTAAATAAAGTGTAGTAACAAAAGAAAAAGGAAAATGTAACAGGAAAATCTCTGAGCCATGCAAGCTTTCACAAAATCAACTTCACTTCCATTCCCATATTTTCAGATACTATAAATGTCACTGTGTTCTTTGATTACTCAGGAGTTGATTATCCTTTTAAGATCCATTCCTGTCCTAACAGCAAAAAGTATTCTTACCTGAGCCATATTTTTGATCAGCTGATCCAACTCATCACAAGCTGGTTTCCCATTGATATGTGGAGTACCAGGCCCTGTAAGTGCTTCCAGATTCCCATTATTAGCAGATAATAAGAAGGATTCATTTGGTAGAGTCGGAATCACAGCAGAATTAAGATGAGGAATGTGGGTTTGTTCAACAGTTGAAGTTGCTGGAGTTGCAATGTTTACCTAAGAATACAGAAATTATTAACAAGAGCATACTTTCTCATCAATTATCAAATTGTCGAAGTGGTCTGCATTAGTGTTTGAGTGAGAGTAATCAAAGGGGTACTCTTCTCTTTAACTTGGTCACTAGACCCTAGCCCCTTGCAGTTGGTGTCAGAATTGCTGTTAAAGTAAGCATTCTGACTGACTATGCTCTCACACTTTGCAGGCTGGCTAACTCCTGGCACAAAGGAATAAATAACAACAAAATAATTTACAATTATTCATGGGTGACTTATTAAAAGCTTCAAGTTAAAGCTAGATGACAAAACAGCAGATACATGAAGCATCAGACCTAGTTTGATATTTCTATAAGCTATTAGGAATGTGACTGAAAGTATGTGTCAGAATGATTACATAACTGATACGCTTAGATCATACTTAGCTCCAGCTACACTGACCTCACTGAACCTCAAAGTGTCAATCAGCTTGCTCTACCAGCCAGATACATCCTCCTCCAAATGTACACATACATTCTTCTCTACTGCATTCAGGTCTGCTCTAAAAAGCATACCTGGAGCAAAACAAGCCCTTCCTCACAAAGCTGTCCACACAGAACCCACCATACCTTGCTACATGAGCTAGCTAGACCATGCTTGCCATTTCAGGACCTGATAGATAATTAGCCCTCATGTGGCTCTCACCCCTGTCAGTGGAGGTAGACTGCCATGTACAGTTTTCCAGGGTCAGAATCTGAATATTTTATTTTCTTCTAGGTCTTTATTCTCTAGAAGAGAGTCTTGAACCGGGCAGCCCTTCAATATACATTTGCAGAATAAACATGCATCCATTTTTGAGGACTTACTCTGACTGATCTCCTCCCAATTAACTCTTTTGAGCGTAAGTATCTCCATCTTACTGATAAAACTATATAACCACATACCCAAAGAATAGTTTGTAATCTGGACTCTTTCACAATGGTGCTCCTATCACATGTGCTATTTTATTCACAGAGTACAAAATCATTTGCAATTTCACTTCTGGATAATGACAGGAGATAAAGAGGATCCACTTGTGAAAGTGACCAAGTGATCAAATAATTCATAAGTGAATTACTAATCCATTTACAAGAGTTTGTTACATATCCTTAAAAGTAAAGCAGCAAACTCATTAAGTTGCCAAAGTTAACAATAAATCAACCATTTAATTGACTACCTATAAACATAGATGAAAAAGTGATCAGTGTGTTGAGAAAAGGTTTGTGGGAACCCTTTTAAACACTCATTTTACAATCAGCAGCAGGCATGATCAATTATTATTTTTTCAAAAGCAAGCATCGTATGCCAAGACTACACTTTTTTCCCCCTGAGCTACAGCAACTTCAGCAAAGTCTGCCAGAAGATATACAGCTCAGGTTGAAGCAGATGGCATAATAAAATTTGTGACAGGCTGAAGATCCCACACACCAGGACCTAATTCCTATGGTATATTTGCATAGCAAAAAAAAATTGGACTTCTGCTATGATAATCAAGAAAGAACAAAGCTTGTTCTACGAGTCTATTGATAAGAAAATAATGATAAAGGTAGGAGCTCTGATGCTGTGGAAGACCACCTCAAAGGTAGTCCAAGAGTAAAGGTAGTAGGATTAGACAAGTACAAACTTACAATATGAATACCATATACAATTACTTGATATCCATTATCTCCTCATTTATTAAAGAGCCATCAAAGGTCAGGGGTTCTTCTTCCTTTCTGCTAGTTAGAGCTTACATAAATGTAAATGTAATAGTTACAAGTCATTTATTCTATTACTGTCTTTTGATACCATTGATAATCTTGTTTTTAAAACTGAAAACTAATATTCCTAGGAAAAAGAACAAAAATGTCTCTTGATTCTACTGAGCCTATTTATTAAAATAGATTTGTGAACTAAAATCTCTTCAAAAACAGGAATGAATATTATTTGCCTTCCTAGGTCTGTTCACAGCAAATATGCTATAAATGTTTAATAAAAAGAACTTGACTCCCACTCGTAGTTTGCAGAATGTAAACCAAATAAAACACAAATATCTGGTAATTTTTATATGTAAATAAACAATCTGTATAATTTATGGAAGTTGTTAGTCAATGACTAAAAGTCACCAAATAATTATCTGCTCTCTGTTTAGCTTCTTGGCTGAGAATTTCAGTATAGAAAGAACTTCTATGTGCTTAATAAATAAACACATATTAAGTTGATTTATCGATTGTAATTAGTGCTATTACTTAAAATAGACCTTAACTGAAGATTATACAAATTACTCAGAAAAAAATAATTTGCTCATCCCTGTCATGGTGGCCCGAGCAGTCTGTGCTGCCCAGAAGATTGTGAGCCTGATGCTGGCTTAAGCAATATAGTAAGTTCCAGGACAACCTGAACTAATTAGCAATACCCTATCTTAAAACACCAAAGTAGGTAAAAACGTGCAGCAAGTTTCCTGTGAAACAGCAGAGTTTAACAACCTCTCAGTATTTACAAGTATAGAAGAAACCCTCTTATATTCAGTCAGAACCAGTAATTGATTTAGTTAACCAAGTAATTCCAAAATAACAGATATCCTAAGTACTTTATTTAAACTTAAAAAATACATTTAATCATATATAAATATACTCACATATGTATGTTTATAAACCTGTATTGCTAAATTTTTGTTACCGCTTAACAATGACAAAAAGTAAGCATTATCTGAGGAATTTGCCATAACAGGGACACCTCTTAGAAATGAGGACCTTTTTTTTTTTTTTAAACTGCACCTTGTCTTTTTTTTTTTCAGAGAAAAAAAAATGTGCCTACTTTCTTGTGAATTTACGAATGCTGTGAAACACTTTCTGGAATTGATCCCAAATGTGAAATTTAAAGACAAATAGAATTCTTCAAGTATTCCATGAAATATATCATTCTAAACAGTAGCAATCATAGGGGAAAAAATTAAACATAGGTTTGGGAAGGTGGCTCAATGGTAGAATGCTTGCCTTGTATGCATGAGGCCCTGGGTTCAATTCCTCAGCACCACCTACGCAGAAAAAGCCAGAAATGGTGCTCTGGCTCATGTGGTGGAGCACTAGCCTTGAGCTGACGAGCTGAGAGACAGCGCCCAGGCCCAGAGTTCAGGCCCCACGACTGACAAAAAGAAAACAAAAAACAAAAACAAAAAAAAAACATAATAAGACTACATTTCAGTTTGGAGTCTTAGGAGGTCTCCTTTTCTATAAATCTTTCAGTGAAATACTGAGTACAGCACAGTTCTGATGCATTATTGAACAGGCAAACCCTTGCACAGTAATTGATGGTGGTACTCTGATTTAATTATTGTTATTTTTAAAGCTAATTAAAGAAATTGAGTTGCACATTCAAAGGGGATTATCTTAATGTGATGAGACTACTTCGGACATAAAGTAGCACATAGTTCCTGAACTAAATTAAATACAAAGTAAAACAGCAGGCTATGAAAAAAAGGAAATGCTTTCCCATATAACAAGCACAATTCCCATTATCTATTAACTTTCTTTTTATTCATTCAAATATTTACTGAGCACTTAAGATGTAGGTGATGGCAACAGTAAAGTGACAAGATGTCTTCCATAATTTCTCTGTTAAATATCCTAAAAAATTACTCCAAAGTCCATAGTCCAGTTAAAATATTCAAGTAACTTTCTTTTCAAAGGTAGGGGTTACTGAATGGCAGAGCAGATAATGGTCTAGAATCCAGCATCTGTAATACTCCTTAAAGCAGTTGTTAACATAAACTGATACATAAAAAAGGTAAATGTACTAAATTTAGAAACAAATGCCTTAATCTAAGAATGTTTAAGGACTTATCCTACATAATCAGTATGTGAAGTCTCTGCACCTGCCCCTATTTAAGTACAAGTGTAGAGTTTCAGAAGCATATTTGTCTTAAAATTATCAGCTTGTGAAACTCAAGATGGAAGGCAAAGAACACTTAGCACCTAAAGAAGGAAACGAATTACAGAGTATGTAAGACTCTTGACTTTTCCTTTTCAATATTTAGGAGGCTATGTGTAGAGGATCACTAATCTACCCAGAGCAATGCTATTATTACAGTGAATTAAATGACAAGATCCAGCACAATCTCGTCAAGTTAAGTGAATGGCCACTTGGCAGGTTATTTTATGTTTGCGTCTTCATTCCAAATTTTATCTATGAAGACTCCAATTCTTCCTGAAACTATACAAGAAATGACATTTTTATTAAAATCTATCTGATAAGCATACTGCATAAAAACGTGTGCTCAGGCAGTTTAATACTTGTTTTAAAGTGGGTCTAAATAACACTCATGCTTTTAGAAATAAGGTTTTAAGTAAAAAGATTCAAACATCATTTGGATAATGATAGGAAAATAATCTGAAGTTATAACAGTTCTTATTTTGCTTTTTCCATATTATTATTTAATTTTTTCACTTTCATCACTAAAAAAAGTTTTGCAATGAAGCAAAATATAGCAGGATTTTAATTATCCCCCAAGAATGATGTTTTCTTTTTCAAAATTGTTTGATTTTTATGATGTGCAAAATGCTAAGCCAGTACTCTACCAACTGAGCTACATATCTAGACTTTGTTTGATCTTTTTAGAAGGTATCTTTATTTTTACTGTTGTTTTAGAAAGAAAGAAACTAGTGGTGGGTTAAAAGGAATGGCCATAAATACTCTCATCAAGAGCAATAATCTATTTCCTCCCTTCTAAACAGTAATGACTTTATTTCTTCACAAAGTAGTCAATTTGATCAAATCTTGATATTTCAGTACAGTTATTTTTAGTATCTGTATTTTAATATGGTAAACACATATGAGGCATTAAATAAAACTATGATGGACACTTCACAGAAAAACACTACAGTTGCACTGAACTAGCCACATTTTTCATGGATATCATATTTGAAAAATAAATGAAAATCAAAATACAATTATGCATACCTGAGTATACAAAAGATGCTTTCTAAAAAATGCATCACATCAGTTATC